GCAGAACACTAGGACGTTAAACCCCATTTCATTTCATATATAAACTACAAATCAAAAGCACTGGAAAAAGTTGTAGTCACCAGCTGCTGGCCTAGAAATAAAGGTTTTACATGTAGATGTACCTGACAAAATGTCAGGCACTAATGAAATAGTACCTGACATTTTCAACTTAGTACTGAACATGTATTAATAATATCAATAAAAAAGACAAATCAGTGCTGGACAAAATGACAGGCACCAGAGGTTTAGTACCTGACAAAGCCCGAATACATGTATGTGACTGACATTGTCTGTGACAGGTGCCTTATTTCCAGGCTTGATAGTCACATGGAATACCGATTCTACATGTACTCTTCAAATATTCCAAGTTATTATTGAAATGTGATTTAAATTTTAAATCTTTGGACGGCTTTTGATGTATTTTCTGTTGGAGAAAGGAGATTGGAACCTAATTCAATGAATGCTTTACTTAATCGAACGAGCGTGGCTAAAACTAATTTAGTACATGGACTTTAACAAGCTTCCTCTTGACATTAAGTTGACATATTAAAAACTCTTGACAGTTGGAATTAGAAATAAGACTAGGCCATAGCCTCACTATCTTGGACAAATTTCCTTTGTAGCATCAAGTCTAGATATACATGTATGGCAGCTGTTTGCTGTGTGATAATTTTGTGTCTCACAATGTCTGTGACCGGTGCCTTACACATACATGTATGTCCAGACTTACGATACGTACTGCATGATGTATGACAACTCACTAACTTACATTCCTTTCCATTCCAGATATGCCTTTCCTATCTCTAATAAAAAAGATGAACAACAATTCCGTCACGTGTGCAACAACTGGCTTAGTAATATCCAGAAGGTATTATTTATAACATATTTTTTTTATTGACTTGAGTTTTAGCAGTGTATTTAGTTTGGTGTTGCTATATTCTTTAATAATGCCAGTTGTTAATTTCTCTATAACTGTAAATATGTTATGTTGGTAGCCAACCAATTTAAGAATTAGAGTTTGAGAAATGTGAAGGTTTGAAAGAGTCAATAAATTTGTAGATGACCATAATGTTTTAACTTAGGGAGCCACGGTGGCTAAGTGGATAAGACGCTGGCTCGCTAACCCGGAGGTCGCGTGTTCGATCCCTGCATTGGCCGAGGAAGTTCATCTGGATTTTCCGACGTGGTTTCCCCTTGTCAAAGGTGCACGAAGGAGGGTCTGACAAGGACAGCTGTTTAGTCGTTCGCATGGGACAAAAAACCAAGGTCGCGTGTATACATTGGTGTGCACATAAAAGATCCCTTGGCAGTTGGAATTCGATATAAGAGTAGGACGTTGAACCCCATTTCATTTCAGTTTTAACTTCGACTGACCATCTTTTTATACGCTCACATTTTCATGTGGATGTATATTGTCGTCGCCCCTGTCCATCCGTGCGGGCGTCCGTCCGCAATTTTTTTATAAATTAGTAACAATATTGCACCTTTAACAAAATAAAATACCCAGATTTACAGGAATAGTCTGAAAACGTGGATATATTGACCATAATGCAATTATTTTTTACAGGAAGAACCAGAAGCTAATTTACCGAGAGTAGCAGCATCGTTATTTATGTCACCAGGGGGAGATAAATTCTATCAACTTTTATTTTCGTTCTCAAACCATGTTCTTCTTCAAGTTATCAAACGAGAAAACGGTAAATTTTGAAGTTATTTTGTTTCAATGGCATTTAGTAATAGAACTGGAATACAAAGGTTACAATTCTATGGAATACAATTAGTGCTTATGATTGAGTGCTGTTGCGAATAGAGCAGCCAAAATGTCGCTCATTAATAAGCAGTAATTGTCTTCCATAAAATTGATAAGGACTAGAGAAGCCTAGTCAAAATGTCACTCATTAATGAGTAGTAATTGTATTCCATAGAATTGATAAGGACTAGAGAGGTCTAGTTAAAATGTCGCTCATTAATGAGTAGTAATTGTATTCCATAGAATTGATAAGGACTAGAGAGGTCTAGTTAAAATGTCGCTCATTAATGAGCAGTAATTGTATTCCATAGAATTGTGACCTGTGTTATTTGATTTAGTGGAAGAAATCATAAAAGAACGAAGCCCATCTTTCACCCCCAAGAAGTAAAACAAAAAGCTGGCTTGCCCTTGGGGATCAGTTCATGATCGTGCAAGGCACTGAGATCATAGCATGTGTTCGGATTTGTTTGTATACTATGTACGACAGTGTGTTGATTTGTTAATTATAGATGAAATGATTGACTTTTGGGTGAAACATAATGAATACATTAAAAAGAATCTGGAACGATTGGAATTCTCCTTTAACTTTTGAGATTTATATTTAATATGTTTAAAGGGGCATTATGGGAGATTAGATAAAGAGTTGACAATTCTTGCTATAATAGTTAAAAAAAAGTTAACATAAATAGAATATGCTGAATATTTCAGTCAAATTGATCCTCTCTGAACCGAGATATTAGCTTTTGAATTTTAGGCTAGCCTCGATCATCATTACTAATGTTGGTACAATAAAAAACATAGTCTCGATTATCCATTTTAACACTTAATTATTTTTTTTAAAAAAGTATTCCAATCCGCTAAATATCGCAGGCTAGCAATGGCATCAAGAGTTGATTATGGTCTGGATAAGTTAATTAATGTCTAATAAATAATTTAGATAACATTTCAGGCCTTGCGTAATGTATGTTTAATATCATGAATTATGTTTATATTTCAGGTGTTAAGAATTGTTTAGCGTATCCTGAATTAACTTCCAGAACAGTGATGTTAGATGATGTTATTGGTAAAACTGTTCAATGTGCCACCATTAGACACAGAAAACATTACTTTCAACAATTAAAACAGAATCTGACCGTTAATAACGAATGGAAGCAGTACTCCAGGTAATATATAGAAACTTTTAGTGGCATATAGTAATGGAAAAAACATTAACATAACACAATTTTTATGGGAGATATCACACGAGCACAACATTTCAAGAAGTATCCTCTTAACATTATCTTGCATCAACACTAGTGATTGTTTCCCATAAAAATTGTGTTCTGTTTATAGGTAGTGTATATTACTAATAATTTACACTAGAACTAGAATTCCACATGTCTGCGCCGAAATATGACCCTAGTTTTATTTCATCATTTTAAAGGAATCTGGTCGAATGGTTAGCATGTGTGGGCTGTATCATAAGGTCTGTCATTGAGTCGACTGGCGTGGTTTCGATTCCCCAGTTGTTCGTGACAAGGAGTAGAGTTGCCTGTCCAACCTTGTGGGTTTTCTCCGGGTCCTCGGTTTCCTCCCGCTGCTAAAAACCCTCATGTGCAAGCAAAATATTGAAATAGAATCTAACCATATGTTAGTCCCGAAATGACATAGTTCATCTCGAGTTGGTACAGAAAAGCAGGACGTTAAAAACGTTCATTTCATTTAGAGTTATGTTTGTTTTTGTTTGTAGCGAACTTGTTAAAGAATATCGACAGTCTACTAAAAAGATTCGAGATTTAGAAAGGGATGTCAGAACAGAAATTCAAAGTTCTGTGGAAAAAAGTCAAAGACGGGGCAGGTAATTTTCAGTTTTCTGTTTCAAAACCGATCTCACCTTGTTCGACTGCTACTTGAACAGTATAACAATTTCATTGAGCAATATTAATATAATTAATTCTTGGGTTCCTCTTGTAAGTGTTGCAGGGAGGAGGGACAAGAACAGCTGTCTAGTTGTTCGGATGAGATGAAAAACTGAGGTCCCGTGTATACATTGGCGTACATGTAAAAGATCCCTTGGCAGTTGGAATTCGATGTAAAAGTAGGCCATAGTGCTGCTGGCCGGGCAAAATTTCCATAATATCACACTGTATGGCGTATGCAGAACAGTACGACGTTAAATCCCATTACTTTAATTTATCATGATTTATAACTGAATTTACTATTTTATTTGTTGGCTTGTTTTATTTTTTAGTCCTCTATCATCAAGAAGAAAGTCTATGAGTTCAGATTTTGATTTGGATAGTCAAGGTGTCAGACGTACACAGAGAATACAGAAGGTAAGCTTATCTTATAATAAAGGGGAGGTAAGTCATGAACTTTAGATTATGAGGTTTGTCGTTAAGTCAAGTGGTGTGATCAACCTGCCAACCCTTGTGGGTTTTTCACTGGGTCCTCCGGTGTCTCCTCCCACTAGGAAAGACCCCTCTGTGGTGGCGAATTATTGAAATAAAATTGTAGAATATGTTAGTCTCAATTTGACCTAGTTGGTGTCGAGGGGATGATGCTGACTCCCCCCCCCCCCCCCCATTACAATAATGAAAGCACAGCGGAACATCATGAGAAAGTTTCTCGGTCAACACCATTAACAAACCATGAACCCTCTGGTTAGAAAGCTAGCGACTTAATCACTGAGTCACCGTGGCTCCCCAATCAATTACAAGAGCGATGTATAAATGTTACAATGACTATATTTTGTTTTTGTTTACATAGGTACGAGATATGTGGAGACAAGTTGAAGGATTTAAAACGGCCGATGATAAAGACAGAGAAATAGTCAACTGTATATTAGAACAGACTTTAGATAAACAGAGGAAGTTAACACCGGGTATAAACGCTACGGAACTTAACGTTAAAATACCAGATTTATTATTGAGAGAATGTGAAACAGAGATACATCGGGTACGTATATAAAATAGTTATAGTCTGTTTATGTTGGGGGGAGGGACAGGGGTTGGGTGTCCGAAAGGGTAACGTACCAGATTTATTATTGAGAGAATGTGAAACAGAGATACATCTGGTACGTACTGTAGTTACAGTCAGTTTATGTTGCGGGGAGGGACAGGGGTTGGGTGTCCGAATGGGCAACGTACCAGATTTATTATTGAGAGAATGTGAAACAGAGATACATCTGGTACGTACTGTAGTTACAGTCAGTTTATGTTGCGGGGAGGGACAGGGGTTGGGTGTCCGAATGGGCAACGTACCAGATTTATTATTGAGAGAATGTGAAACAGAGATACATCGGGTATTTACTGTAGTTACAGTCTGTTTATGTTGGGTCGGGGGAGGGACAGGGGTTGGGTGGCTGAATGAATGGTCATTGAGTCATTGAGTCAAGTGGCTTGTACGTGACAAGGAATAGAGTCGCCTGTCCAGCCTCATGGGTTTTCTCCGGGTCCTCTGGTTTCCTCCCACTGCTAAAGACCCCTACGCGCAGGTGAATTATTGAATTAAAATTGAACCATTTGTTAGTCCCAAAATGGCCCAGTTTGTGTCAAGTGGATGTTAAACCCTCACGGTGTTGGCCGAGCAATTCCTCCTGATTTTCCGGAAGTGGTTTCCCCTTGTGAGTGTGCAGGACGGAGGCCTGGCGAGGAACAGTGTCTAGAGGTTTGGAAGGGATCAAAAATCAAGGCCTGGTATGCACATAAGAGAACTGTTTACAGTTGGAATTCAATTGCTGTCCGGGCAAAATTTCCCTCATAGCACACTGTATGGTGTATGCCCGTCTTCATTAGCCCAGTTGGAGCAGAAAAATAGGACGTTAAACTCATTTTATGTCATTTCATTTTATTTCAGAGACATGTTGATAATACATATAAAGGGGGCAAATTAAATCTGTTGAGTGTTCTACAGTTGTGGAATTTATCATTACATCTTTATATAGAACGACTGAAACAAGGTATGTTATCATATTGTTATTTTATATAGAACAGGGGGCACAGTGGATCTGTAAGTATGAAGTTTGTTCATTAACCAGGTTGTCTGGTGTTTGATCCTGGTTTTGGCTAAGAAATCTCCAGATTTTCTAGCCTGGCCCCGAGTTCACAAAGCATTCTCAGACTTAAGTTAAGAATTTACTCAAAAGTTAACAAAGATATAGCCCTTTATAAAAGTTTTGTTGTTTTAATGTAGCAAATACATCAATAAGAAACTATGTGCGAAGTTTTGTGTTTCTGGATCAAAGATATTTCTCATAAACAGTGATTGAAAGTTGAGTACTTCTGAGAATGCTTTGTGAACTCGGGGCTTGGTTTCTTCTTGTTAGGGGTTGGGTTAGGGTTAGGGTTAGGTGATGACAAGGAAAAGTGTATGGGGCAAAGAAACAAGTTCCACACGTTAACTTGTTGAAGTGCACGTAAAAGAACCCTTGATAGTTAAAATTTGATGAAGATGTGGATTTTGGGGTTAAGTTGCCCCACATAGCAGAATATTAGGAAGTTAAACCTAATTTCATTTCATTATGTTTTATAATCTCTAGAGGTGATTCCGCCCACAATTGCTATGGCCCTATGATCATTCTAGAGGCTAAAGTTAATATTCGATTTGCTTCACATTTATACACAGTGTTTAAGGTCATGAGACGAAGAAGCCTATTGATTTTCAACGATTTCCGATAAGTACTGCCTTGTTGATTCCCTGGATAACTTAGCTGTTGTGGGCGTATGTTTCGTTGCCTGGCAACCTATCTTGAAGACAATATAAGAAATTTTAAAGCTGATTCCAGGCTAAAATATGTCTATTATATATTTTAGGAAGTTTGCCCGAATTAGATGAAGAAACATCTGTGGTGACAACACAACTACATACACATCATGTTCATCTGACAAACGCACAAAATCTACGGTAGGTATATAGGGTCATGGTTTGGAATTCCACTTGAGGCTTAGCTTTTATGCTGGAGGGCCTGACAAGGTCAGCTGTCTAGTCGTTTGGATGGGACGAAAAACCGATGTCCTGTTTACATTGACGTGCACGTAAAAGATCCCTTGGTAATTGGAATTCGATATTAGAGTAGGCTGTAGTGCCGATGTCTGAGAAAAATCTCCCACATAGCACACTGTATGGTGTATGCCGGTCTTCATTAGCCCAGTCAGAGCAAAACAGTAGGACGTTAAACCCCATTTCATTTGGCTTTTATGCAGGTTCTCCATTGCTCATCTCCGGAAAATGACTCCTGTACACCATCAAAATAAGACAGAAAAATATACTCTATGTTATTGGTGAATCGCGGTGGCTCAGTGAGTAGGAAGTTGGCTAGCAAACCAGGAGGCCTTGGGTTTGCTTCCAGTGTTTGCTGAGAAAGTTCCTCAGTATTTTACGTTGTGGTTCCCCCCCATTGCTAAAGACCCCAAAGCAAATTATTGAATTAATTGTACTATGTTAATCCCGAAATTACTTAGTTTGTGTTGTTTTGGTGCAGACCCTCTCTCTCTCTCTCTCTCTCTCTCTCTCTCTCTCTCTTATTTCATAGTTAGATGTTTTCCATGTTTTCGATAAATATAGCATAATATGATATAGCATATGGTGGCTATAGTTTTAGGATTTCTAATTGTGATGAGATGTATAAATTATCTCGGGATTTATTGAACCCTGGATGAGTTGTATAATTATTTTATTATAGGGAGAAATTATCTCAGGATTTATTACCCCATTTAAAACAGTCTATAGAGAGATTACGACATGAAATTGATGCTGTAGCTGTTTTACCAGACCATAAGACACCCAATACATCACGGATTACTGTAAGTTATTCTTATTAAAAATGTCTAGTTTATAATTCATTTGTATTGCTGTCCCCTTATTAGTCCTCCATTATATATTTCATTCATTTTGTTATCACCTTATTAGACCTCTATTATACGATTCATATCACTGTCCCCTTATTAGGCCGCCATTATATGATTCATTCATATCACCATTATATGATTCATTCATATCATTGTCCCCTTATTAGGCCGCCATTATATCATTACTGTAAAACATGAAATTATTGCGACATGAAATTATTGCGAGTTGGGGTGGTGAAACATAATTGCGATGTGAAATTATTGAGAATTTCTATAGTGGGGAAAAAATTATTGCGAATTTAAATAATTTTTTTTAGTAAATTTGTCTATAAAATGTGGTAGATTGTTAATTTTGAGGTGACAGTCGGTTCTTCAAAATCATCGGTTGATTGGTGATCATTAGTAACAGTAATTAAACAACTATTGAGGATTATGGCTTTGCGTCTGTATTCAACAGATCAAAGAAAATTAAGTACCTGTTATCAAACTCAATTTTCAAATAATTATTGTTAAATTAAATCCCTTGATTAACTCCAAGCTGACGAACGACTATAAAACACATGGCATGCGACATTTTTATTACTTTCAAAATGGCGATATTGGTACTTATTGGGACTCTTTCTTGTGAAGAGTAATGAAGGGGGGGATAATTCAATATGGCCGACATTACAACGAATTTTCACAAAATTATTGCGAACATGAAATTATTGCGAGAGGGCCTCGCTCGCAATTTTCGCAATAATTTCATGCTCGCAATAATTTCTTGTTTTACAGTAATTCATATCACCATATATGATTCATTCATATCACTGTCCCCTTATTAGGCCGCCATTATATCATTCATTCATGTTGTTGTACCCTTATTAGGCCTTATATAATTCATTCATGTTGTTGTCCCCTTATTGGTTCTCCATTATATAATTCATTCATGTTGTTGTCCCCTTATTAGGCCTCCATTATATAATTCATTCATGTTGTTGTCCCCTTATTAGGCCTCCATTATACAATTCATTCATGTTGTTGTCACCTTATTAGGCCTCCATTATATAATTCATTCATATCTCTGTCCCCCATATAAGTCCTCCATTATATAATTCATTCATGTTGTTGTCACCTTATTAGACCTCCATTATATAATTCACTCATCTAACTCTGTTCCGTTCGTACCTTTTCTTTTCTCTCAGTCTGTCTTTTTTCCCAGATTTTTCTTATCAGACTTCGAAAATGAAAATATTTCAAAAGATAAATAAGTTAGTAGTTAATGAGTTTCATCCATTTTTTGGGGATGAGGGGATGGGGGAGGGGTGGTCTCTATTTTTAATCCTCAAATTTTTCATATATTGAGTCTTGTTTTATCCTTTATGATAACCATAAATTGTTTCAATTATGTGATTGAATTGGACTAAAACATGTCAGAAATCTAATAATAGTAATAATCAATAATAATCAGTAATTGTATTCCATAGGATTATGTCCTGCAATCTGCTTATAGTTCAAAATTTTGTTTAACTTGTCTTTACTACACTTGGATCTGGAACAGTTGTGATATAACCCGTGTTCTGGGTGATGTGAGGGATTAACCAATGAAACGGTCTGTTACGGCGTGTTTTTGGCATGTGGTGCACGGAACTGTGGGTAACCCACTAGAAACATTAATGCTGACGGCATAGGGTCAAAAACGGTTGGTATGACCTCTGACGCAACCTTTCACTACAACTGGTTAGATCTTCGTGTAGTGTAGGCCATCGACAGTATAAAATAACGAAACGAAATATAGATCTGTATTTAATTAGATTGATCAATATGTACATGCAGTATAAACATACCATGGTGAGACCGGGTCGAAACATGTTAAAATGAATCAAAAATCAGGTTTTGAGATTTTCTTATTGTCACTACAGAAATTTCAATGAGTTATTCTGAAAATTTGTTATTGTTGTGACTTTTCCGACGGGGGGTTTCCCAATGTCGGTGGTGCAGTGCAGTGGGCCTGACAAGGACAGCTGTCTAGTCATTAGGATGGGGCAAAAAAAATGAGGTCCCGTGTATACATTGGCATGCACTTAAAAGATCCCTTGGCAGTTGGAATTCGTTATAAGAATAGGCCATACTGCCGTTGCCCGGGCAAAATTTCCCTCAGCACACTGTATGGAGTATGCCTGTTTTCATTAGTCCAGTCGGCACAGAACAGTAGGACGTTAAACCCCATTTTATTTCATTTCATTTCATTTATTTCTGTGACCATTAGTTTATGAGATAAACTAAATCTTCTTTACCATGGCAACCGGTAACTGACTTGATACCTATTTGTGTATTAATAAATTCCTCTTAAAACATGTTTATAATCATAATAACAGAAGACAGCTTTAATGGATAACATTCATTAGGTTTATTAACTGTAAAATTCCAATAAGGATAAAATCAAACATATTCAGAAGATTATACATAACATTTAATACAATCTGATTAAAACACAGATCCTATTTCATTTCGTTATTTATAGTTCAAAATTACTATTTACTTGTCTTTATTTACTACACTAGTGGAAGGTCGCGTCAGAGGTCATCAGAGTGGCTTTTGACCCTATGATTAACCAATCAGCGTTGGTGTTTCTAGTGGGATACCCACTGTAACAGACCATTTCATTGGCTAATTGACAACATCAACCAGAATGCGTGTTATATAACAACTCTTCCAGATCCTAATGTAATAAAGAAAAGTAAATTTTGAACTATAAAAACGAAACGAAGCGGGATCTGTGTTTTAATCAGATTGCTTTTAGAGATTCAACTTTCACAATATTGTAATTTATAAGGGGTTCAGGTGGTTGGATGGTCGAATGGATAGCATGTACTCGCTGTATCCATTCACTTGATTTTGTATTTGTTTATTTAGTGCAATGTCTATTTTCTGTCTTGTCCGCAGATTTATCTTGTAGATTTTTGTTTTGCGTGTAGTGCAGTCCTCATGAACTTACTAATCGGGTCTGTCATTGAGTCAACTGGTTTGGTTTCGATTACCCAGTTGTATGTGATGAGGAGTAGGGCCGCCTTTCCAACCTCGTGGGCATTCTCAGAGTCCTCCAGTTTCCCCACACTGCTAAAGACCCCTATGCACGAGTGAATTATTGAAATAAAATTGAACCATATGTTAGTTCTGAAAAGACCTAGTATGTGTCGAGTGGACGTTAAATCCCATTTCTCTCTCTCTCTCTCTTTATAAGGGGTTCAAAATCCCCCAAATGACAGTCAGTGGCATTAAAAGAAAATTGTTTAGAATATTAATATGAGTGCTAAGTTTATAATATATATAGCTTTTGACTGTGTTTAAGCGACATTTTTAGATTGTTGAATGTGAAATATTTGTTATTTTTACTTAGATTAGTGCTATTCTGATTTGAAATTTCAGTTATTTTACTGTTGAATAAAGTTACTCATTCTTTTTGATATTGTTAATATGAAATATTTCGCTGTTATGTTAATGAAATAAATTTATTTTTGATAACTTTACAGTTATTTACTTTAAAGGTCAGATCTTTCACACATAATGTATGCACAATCTGATTAAAGCACAGATCCTATTTTGTTTCGTTTTTATAGTTCAAAATTTCGTTTTACTTGGTCTTTACTACACTAGGATCTGGAGGAGTTGTTATCATTGCCGAGTTCTGAATGATGTGAATAATTAGCCAATGAAACGGTCTGTTACAGTGAGCTTTAGGCGTGTTTTGCACGGAACTGTGGGTAATCCACTAGTAACGTCAATGCTGATTGGTTAATCAAATCTCTGACATCATAGGGTCAAAAGCTGCTCGTATGACCTCTGTTGCATCCTATTGCTACAACCGGTCAGATCTTCATGTAGTGTAGACCATCGGAAGTTTAAAAAAACGAGACGAAATATAGATCTGTTTTTTTATCAGATTGAATGTATGCACTTTGTTATTGAAAGGCATGATAAGGAACAACATACATATAATAGCAGCCTTGACAGCTGCCATTACAGCTGGAATTCCAAATAAAAGCAATGTGTAGCATGTACATGTATATCAAGGCAAAATTTCCATCATAGCACAATGCATGCCGTTTTCCCGTCTTCATTATCCAGTTGGTGGAGAAAAGTATGACGTTAAACCCGATTTCATTTCTTATTTCCTTATCCATATGTAACCTACATGTACAAATCAAGCAAATAATGTAAGGTTTAAAGAAGCTGAATAGGATAGGTCGAGATCTCAACAGATACTTGTGTCAGTGATATTTACATTAATCCATAAGAATTACTGACAATATAGCCTTGAACTGGAGTTCTACTACATGAAGCCATACATATAAAAAAATGGCAGACTGTTGGATTTATATGTAGAGCTAAAAAGGTGACTTTGCAAGTCAGAACTATGTCAACAATCCAGTCGAATGTGTATAATTACTACCACATCTATTACTTAGTTGTTCCCATCATATATATGCATGTACATGTACGTAAAAGAAAACACTGTTATCCAGGACAAATTTTCTTGTGTCGCATTGCATACTTGAGCATTGAAATTAAAATTACCATATTTTTGTCTCCAATTACCAAATTATTGATATTGTCCAAACAAGTACGAAGCAGGAAACAAGTGAAGTGTCATCACGGCCATGTTGGAATTTTGACGTCATATCAATGATTGATAGACAATTGTCCAAGGAACACGTCTGCTAAGTTTCAAGTACTTGAATTGGCAGAGACATATGCTTTCTTTAAAGAGCATCTTCCCAAAATGGAAAAGAATAAAAAGATAAGTTGGGGTCCAGTTCCTGGTCCAAAAAGACAATTGACGAACTGCATCTTTAAACCCCATTTCAATCCATCTGTGTATTTTATTAAAGATGCATAATTACAGGCTTTTATTTTGGCTTCAAATATGTATATTATTATTCAGACATTTATTAACATAACAGGCCTATGATAAGCTCTCTAGGCCATCGGATGTCTCAGATGTAAATAGATTAACAAAAGATCAACATGAAATCATAAAGTCTGTCAGTGAGTCAAGTGGCTTGGTTTTGAGTTGGGTCGTCTGTCCAATCTCATGGGTTTTCTCCGGGTCCCCCATTTTCCTCCTACAAGCGAATTATTGAAATAAAATTGAACCATATGTTAGCGCCGAAATGACCTAGTTTGTGTGGAGTGAAGGTTAAACTCACTCTCTCTCTCTCCCCCCACACTTTCCCTTCCTTTAAATAATATAAGTTTTATTGTAGTGTTGTTGAAATTATAATCAAAATACTTTGTTTCTTCAGTCACTTGGGTTTGAATTAATGGCACCAACACCACCGATGTCTTTTACACCTAATGATGATACAAGTAGCAGTTATGTTGATAAACATTCCATGTTATATAAAACTCCTACACAAGGTAATATATAGGTTGTCTTTTATTATATATACATATTCAACAATTAATATGCATATTCAACAGTTAATATGCATAGTCAACAGTTAATATGCATATTCAACAGCTAATATGCATATTCAACAGCTAATATGCATATTCAACAGCTAATATGCATATTCAACAGTCAATGTGCATATTCAACAGTTAATATGCATATTCAACAGTTAGTATGATTAAAAGATGATTATTGACGTCAAATTATTCTGACTTGTATATACTTATTAACGCTTTAAATAAAGAACCCTAGCCATTGCCAAGTCAAGTTCAATTGTCTTTTTGTTTTACGAGGGGTTGGGTGACCGAATAGTTATCTGTCATTGAATCAACTGCTGTGGTTTTGATTCCCCGGTTGTACGTGACAAGGAGTAGGGTCACCTGTCCAACCTTGTGGGTTTTCTCCGAGTCCTCCGGTTTCCTCCCATTGCAAAAGACCGTGTTAGTCCCGAAATGACCTAGTTTGTGTTGAGTGGACGTTAAACCCCATTTCTCTCTCTCTCTTGTTTTTTGGAATTCCCTGAAATGCTGCTATCTGGGCAAAATGTTTCTCATAGCACTCATCATGGTGTATATGATAACAGAACACAATTTTTATGGGTAACAATCACTGGTTTTATTCTAATAGCACGACGTTTCGACAAGTATCCTCTTATCGTTATCAAGCACAATGGTGTATATGCTTGTCTTGATTAGCCCAGTTGGTGTAGCAAAGCAGGAAGTTAAACACTGTTGGAGTATATTTTATTTGTATGAGTCACGCTGGTTCACTAAACAAGATCCTGGTGATTTTGCCCAGACAGCGGCGCCATAGCTTAATCTTATATTGAATTCCAACTGCAGAGGGATCTTTTATGTTCAGGCCAGTATATACATACTACACAGGACCTTGGTCTTTCGTCCCATCCAAACGACTAGACAGCTGTCCTTGTCAGGCCCTCCGTCCTGCACCACTGACAAGGGGAAACCATGTTGGAAAATTGATGAACTTTCTCGGCCAACACCGGAGCGAACCCTCTACCTCCAGTCCAGCGAGCCAGCGTCTTACTTAGCTCCTTTTCTATAAAACATTTTGATTAGACAATTTACATTTATTACAGATGTCTCAACACCAGAAGCTGCCAATCAAATATTAGACACGATGCTCCAGACTTCTAGAAAGACAGCTAATAGACACCATCATGCTAGTCCTATTTATGCACCAAAGATAAACACTACTGGAGGCATACCAGTATCAAATAGGTGGGTAGTCTTTTTCATACCATTATCAAATAGGTGGGTAGTCTGTTTCATACCAGTATCAAATATGTGGGTAGTCTTTTTCATTTCAGTATCAATAACTAAGTAGTCCTGGGGCCTGTTTCACGAAATTTTAACTAAGATAAAATCCAAATTTTAGTAATATCAGATTGATTTTAGTACTTAGCTAATCAAAATTGAAGTATCTACTATCTACTAAAATTTGGATTTTATCTTTAGTTAAACTTTCGAAAAAGTAGCTAAGGTTTTTACAGGGTGGTTTCCCTTGTCCGTGGTGCAAGGTCAGATGTACACGTGAAAGAACCATTGACAGTTGAAATTCGATATAACAGTAGGCGGTAGTGACGCTGTCCAGGCAAAATGTCCCTCATAGCATATTGCATGGCGTATGCTTGTCTTCATTTTGGTGCAAAATAAAGTAGGAACGTTATCTTATTTCATTTCCATTCTATCTAATTAAGGGGGGGTTGGATGGCCGAATGGTTAGCAAATGCGCACTGTATCATACGGTCTGTCGTTTAGTCAACTGGTGTGGTTTCGATGCCCCAGTTGTACGTGGCAAGGAGTAGGGTCGTCTGTCCAACCTCAATTTTTTTTCCGGGTCCTCCGGTTTTCTCCCACTGCTAATAACCCCTACGTGCAAGCGAATTATTGAAATAAAATTGAACCATACGAAATGACCTAGTTTGTGTCGATTGGAAGTTAAACCCATCTCTCTCTCTCTCTCTCTCTCTCTCTCTCTCTCTGTTTATAATTATTTTGCTTTATTTTCAGAAATACAAACAACATTAAATTATCGCGAAATGTTACAGTAAAAGATCGTTTACCATCAAAGTTAGGACTCGGTGATATTAAACAACTGAGTAAAGACAAGGATAAAAATAAAGAATATAAGAGTTCAAACGTAAAAAGTTCTACTCCTGTCAGAAACAATCCACAGCTATCAAGGATAATGACAACTAAAACTAATACACACGTAGTACCACCACCACATGATAAATCCTCTAAACTCAGAGTCCTGGCAGTAAGTCTTTGATACTAAATTTAACACTCTCTTTTTGTTAGGCTGAATAGTTAGCACGTGCCCACTGTATCATAAGGCCTGTCATTGTGTAAACTGGCGTGGTTTCGAATCCCTGGTTGTACGTGAAAAGGAGTAGGGTCACCTGTGCAACCTCGAGGATATCTCCAGATTCTCAGAGTCCTGGCAGTAAGTCTTTAATGCTAAATTTAACGCTCTCTTTCTGGTATAATTGGGGGCATTGTGTGGCCATGTAGTCTGATTATAAGGTCTGTCATTGAGTCAAGGGGCATGGTTTCAAGCCCACACTTGTACGTATCACCTGTGCAATCTCGAGGATATGTCCAGAGTCCTGGCAGTAAGTCCTTAAAGCTAAATTTAATACTCTTTCTGGTATAATTGGGGGCATTGTGTGGCCAAGTGGTCTAATCCATGTACTTTAGATTATAAGGTCTGTCATTGAGTCAAGTGGCGTGGTTTCGAGCCCACACTTGTATGTGACAAGCGTCTCTATAGATGTTTTTGATATTCATTGAGAACCCTATTAACTTGGATGACTTTGCTGGTGTTGAGCATTTTAAGAATAAACAAATATGATTATTTTATATTTTAGAGTCCACGACCAGAAGCTGTTAACCATATTAAGAATGGGAATATGTCAACCAATCATACATCGTCTTACAATACCCCCGCTAAAACCCCAGTACCTCTAGCACAAGATATTCTAGTAGACAAGGTAAGGCCACGTCAAGTTTCCATCTTCGGGAAACACATTTAAATTTTGGTTCATATTTCTTCAGGCTAAGTGAGTATAAATGAAATGAAATGGGGTTTAATTTAACGTCCTACTGTTCTTCTCCGACTCGGCTAATGAAGATGGGCATACGCCATGCAATGTCCTATGAGGGAAATTTTTCCCGGCCAGCGGCACTACGACCTACTCTTACATCGAATTCCAGCTGCTGGGGGATCTTTTATATGCATGCCAATATGTACACTGCATCTCATTTTTTCGTCACATTCGAATTATTAGACAGCTGTTCTCAGGTCCTTGGTCCTGCATCACTGACATGGGAAAACCTCGCCAGAAAATCAAGAATGTCATGGTGGCTCAGTGAGAAAGGTGCTGGCTCACTAACAAGGAAGTCACAGATTCTGTCTTGGTGCTGGCCGAGTAGGTTTGCCAGTATTTTACTTTGAACTGTTCAAACTGATTATTTTATGGTTGTACTTTGCAGATAGTTTCAGCAGTCATTGACGGTAGTCCAGATCAAACTGTATCACCTGTTATTACTTCATTACATACACAACTGGAAACACAAGACATAAACCTACTCAATCCTATAGCAGCTTTAGGTAAAGTTTTCTGATTATATATATTAAGTCAAACAAGATGGTGTTTTACCCTGAGTACTCCATTTCCTCTCAAGTTTAATTTTAAAAATACCATATCTTAATTCCAAATTTACCTATTTTGTTTCAAGTGGATCTCTCTCTCTCTCTCTCTCTCTCTCTCTCAGACATTAAACCCTATTTCTATCTATCACAATTTTGATTCTAATTTTGTGAGAATTATGTCACTTAGTGACATTGCATCAATACCTTGACTAAGTTTGATAATGATCATTTTCTGCTCAGGTTATGCAGAGTGGTCAGCAATTTGATTGTTTGATGCTTTATGAAAACAAATGTGTAAGCCATTCATACTGTCCTCATGGTTGGTTTGTTTAATTGTCCCCCGCCTTTCGAAGAAAGCAGGGGACTATTAAAATGGGTTCGTCCGTCCGTCTGTCTGTCTGTCTGTCTGTCTGTCTGTCTGTCTGTCTGTCTGTCTGTCTGTCTGTCTGTCTGTCTGTCTGTCTGTCTGTCCGTCCGTCCGTCCGTCCGTCCGTCCGTCCGTCCGTCCGTCCGTCCGTCCGTCCGTCCGTCCGTCCGTCACACTTTTTGGGACACAATAACTCTCTTCCTAATTGAGCTAGAATGTTCAAACTTGGTGTATGTGTTTATTAGGTCAATGCCTTGATGGGGTTCGAAGATGAGCATTTTCCGCTTAGGGTAAGCAGAGATAAGCAATTTGATTGGTTGATGCTTTGGGACACGATAACTCTCTTCCTAATTGGGCTAGAATGTTCAAACTTGGTGTATGTGTTGATTAGGCTAATGCCTTGATGGAGTTCGAAGATGAGCATTTTCCGCTTAGGGTAAGCAGAGATAAGCAATTTGATTGGTTGATGCTTTGGGACACGATAACTTTTAATTGAGCTAGAATGTTCAAACTTGGTGTATGTGTTTATTAGGTCAATGCCTTGATGGAGTTCGAAGATGAGCATTTTCCGCTTAAGGTAAGCAGAGATAAGCAATTTGATTGGTTGATACTTTGGGGCACGATAACTCTCTTCCTAATTGAGCTAGAATGTTCAAACTTGGTGTATGTGTTGATTAGGTCAATGCCTTGATGGAGTTCGAAGATGAGCATTTTCCGCTTAGGGTAAGCAGAGATAAGCAATTTGATTGGTTGATGCTTTGGGACACAATAACTTTAGTTCTAATTAAGTGAGATTGATGAAACTTGGTGTATAGTTTCATTACAGTAATACCTTGACTAAGTTTGATAATGAGCATTTTCTGCTCAGGGTAAGCAGAGCGATACTCAATTTGATTGGTCGAGACTTTGGAAAACAATAACTCTCCTACTTTGATTGTCCCCCGCCTTTCGAAGAAAGCAGGGAACTATTAAAATGGGTTCGTCCGTCTGTCTGTTTGTCTGTCTGTCCGTTCTGCTTATTTGTGATAAATTTATATGTGTCCTCTAATTATTTTCCTATTTCGGCGGGGGACATCAGCCTCACTGTTGGCTTGTTCTAGATGATACAGTACTTTTTCATGTTTTATTGGATGTACAGTTTGTTTAATTGAGTGTACAGTATATTTGTTTAATTGGGTGTACAATATGTATGTTTAATTGGGTGTTCAGTATGTTTGTTTAATTGAGTGTACAGTATATTTGTTTAATTGGGTGTACAATACATGTATGTATGTTTAATTGGGTGTTCAGTATGTTTGTTTAATTGGGTGTACAGTATCTTTGTTTAATTGAGTGTACAGTATGTTTGTTTAATTGAGTGTACAGTATATTTGTTTAATTCAGTGTACAGTATATTTGTTTATTTTGGATGTACAATATGTTTGTTTATTTGTGTGTATATTTGTTTAATTCTATATATAATACAGTGTTAATTATTTGTGTGTATATTTGTAGATGATACAGTATTTATATCACGTGATAAAATAGAAAGAAGTCCTATCGATGTAGAAGATATTAATAACACTCATGATAAAAGTAGGTTACGATTTATTGATAAAATATGAAATCTGTATAGTGGCATGTATCCAGTCCAGATTTCTCATGTCTACATGCTTATTTTATTGAGCAAATTGTAAATAAGACAGGGGGTTGGATAGCCGAATGGTTAGCATGTGCACGCTGTATCATAAGGTCTGTCATTGAATCAACTGGCATGGTTTCGATTCCTCGGTTGTACATGACAAGGAGTAGGGTTGCCTGTCCCACCTAGTGGGTTTTCTCCCACTGCTAAGACAGCTGTTTAGTCGCTCGAATGGGACGAGAAACCGATATAAGAGTATGCAGTAATGCCACTGTCCGGGCAAAATTTCCCTCATAACACACTGTATGGCGTATGCCCGTCTTAATTAGCCCAGTTGGAGCAGAACAGTAGGACATTAAACCCCATTTCATTTCTTCATCTGATCTGCTTGAAATTGACATTTGACAATACATGCATTGTGGACTGCTTGGACAACTGGGCTGTGGTGGGTGGATATTTTGTTGCCTGGCAACCAATCTTTTATATATTTAAGAAAGTTGTTTCTCTTTGTAGGTGAAGAATCTTCTAAAGAGATCGTAAATAGTTTAAGTTTTCAGTTAGATGATATGAGACAGAAACTTTCTTTCGATGATGACATTAACACGAGTCATAGTGACCGACCATTACAACAGTCATCGAGATCCGACACCGATGGCAAAACGACACCAGAAAATACAAACAATGCAGATCAATCTAGCACGAACAAACAAACTTTAACAATTACAGAAGCTGATGACAGCAGATTATTTGAGTCTACAAAATCACTGGATAATTTAGTTCAATCTCAAGACATGGATGTCCAGCATCAAGAATATTCAGATGTGTCGCCATCGATAAGGTTAAAATCTCCGGCCTACGAATCAGACCACCATTTAAATTTATCAAAAGAGGACTTGATGACGTGTGAAAATCCCATGAAAGAAAGTTTATTAAATTTAGAAGCATCTCCGTATGCTTTTCAAAGTAAAAGTATGGAAGAGGAACTGAAATTAACAAGCGTGGATGCTGAACTAGACGCCATTTTCAATACGAAAACCCCTAAATTTAATCGTAGGACAGGAAAGTTGGAGTCATTAGGTAGTTTCGCGTCTGATATTGAGACAATTAACTTGGAATCCCTGGAAGATAGTTTGCCCCTTGACGACGCGATCAGCGACCAAGGACCTCCGACTCTAGTTTCATTTTCTCCTCCCGACAAACATGTGGTAAAAGCAGACACAGATCCACGGACAACGTTTCCGAATAATTTTAAATTTGTACATAATTCTCTTACATCGGATGAAAATCATAATTTACAAAATTCTAGTGTTCCGACAATGGCATCAAGTTTGTCTTTGTTAACTGATATTACGGACAAAGCACCATTGAAATCACCGAGATCTTGTTTTAACGCACTTTTTACAAATAACGAAGATCTTTTAGACAATGAAGAACTTCCGGGAGATTTGGGTTTAGAATTAAACGACTCATTCGCTCCATTAAAGGAGGGTGTTCATTTTACTAGAACATCTCCGGCTAAAACACCAAAATCGAAAATCTCTTCAAGTTTGAACACATCGTCAAATTCAACGGCTAACATACCGGAAGTTGATGAAATTTCTGAACGATGTCAGAGACTGCGTAAAGTGGCTTCCGAAGCGTTGAGTCATGTGACTTTAGAAATTGATGAAGTTATTGCGAAAGTGGACAGCTCTATTCACGATAAAGAACAGATGCTTCAATCATCACCGTTTTTCGATAGCAGTGTTTTAAGTGAAACAGATCGAAGTGTGAATTATTTGAAATCGGAAGTTCAACATCGAGCAATGGAAGATGTAACAGATAGTCTTAATGTATTTCATCCTCCTTATACAGGTATGTAAGTGATTGTCAATCTGGAATGTTTCAAATGTATGGAATTACAGTTGTGTCAGTCCTATTAACAAGGCAGGGTAGTCACTAGAAACAATCTGGAATGTTCCAAATTGACAATTTAAATTGAGTTACCATAGTTCTGCTGGAGGGGGATCACGTGGCTAAGTGGGTAAGACGCTGACTCGCTAGCCTGGCGGTCGGGTGTTCGATCCCTGCATTAGCTGAGAAAGTTCATCCAGATTTTCCGGCATGGTTCCCCCTTGTCAGTGATGCAGGACGGAGGGCCTGACAAGGACAGCTGTCTAGTCATTCGGATGAGACGAAAAACCAAGGTCCCGTGTATACATTGGAATGCACGTAAAAGATCCCTTGGCAGTTGGAATTCGATATAAGAGTAGGCCTCATAGCACACTGTATGGCGTATACCCGTCTTCATTAGCCCAGCATAGGAGAAGAACAGTAGGACGTTAAACCCCATTTCATTTCATTTCAGTTCTGCTGGACTTGACAAAAAGACATAGGGTAGTAGGGCTGCAGCGATATACTGTGAGACTGCATACCGCGGTGTACATGTCACGGTTCGGTTCACGGTACTTTAAACCCGTACCACGGTTTGGTACACACGGTGCATGAGAAGGCATTTATTGCCACAAACGTTAATTTGAAGAAATATTAATTGTTTATTAATTAATAATTAAAGACAATTTAAATATCATGTACATATTTTATTCATTATGTAAATTTGGAAAGAAAAAAATATTGTGATACATCTATACCCTAATCGTATTATGAGGTAAGCATATCGTTGCAGTCCTACAGGGTAGTGACTAGAAACAATCTGAAATGTTCCGAATTGACAGTTATCATAGTTCTACTGGATCTGAATTGACAGAATTTAAATTGAGTTATCATAGTTCTGCTGGCCCCAACAAAAAGACACAGGGCAGTGAATAGAAAGATTATTTCAGGTGCAGTGCCTAAGAATGGAAACATAACAACTGTCGTCAGGCCTGGAAACAAAGTACCTGTTGTCAGGCTTGGCAGTAATGACCTTAGTTGTACATGTACACGCTTGCCTATCAGTGATCAGACATTATTTTCGAAACCTCCCAAAACTATTGCTTCCTAGACTGTCTTACATAACTGGTATATGGATCCCTAAATAGTGACCTTCATATGACCTTGTGGTGTTCGAGGCACTGAAGGAAGCAGTTACCCCCCCCCCCCTTTGTAATAGTTATTATTAGTATTCCTGCTTTCTGTAAATATATTCCATTATATTTTCAACAGGAGATGTGAAAGTAAAGAAACCTACTAGTCAACAAAGTCATTTAACAATTCACGATTTTAATGATGATATATTTGGTAAGTTCATCTTCTAAATAAGTACATGTACATGTAAAGCCATGGATTGGCATTTGTGGGATTTTTAACAAGTTGGAAACCACAGTAATGTGGAAGTTGAATCTCTAATAGGAATATCAATCCGAAAAGGCTTCAGTTCGATTTGGTATTGGGCAGTTGGATGGCCGAAAGGTTAGCACATGCCGTGCTGTATCATAAGGTCTGTCATTGAGTCAACTGGCAGGGTTTCTATTCCCCAGTTGTATGTGAAAAGGAGTAGGGTTGCCTGTCCAACCTTGTGGGTTTTCTTCAGGTCCTCCGGTTTCCTCCCACTGCTAAAGACCCCTAGGCGCAAGCGAATTATTAAAATAAAATTGAACCATGGTGTTAGTCCCGAAATGAGGTAGTTTTTGTCGAGTGGACGTTAAACCCCATTTTTCTCTCTCTCTCTGTTCAGTCTTTACAAAGATATGATTGATGAATTGTAAATTTGTCAACATTCGGTATACACTGCAAAGAATATAAACAGGATGGTCAAAATAAACAAGCGACTGGTACCAATCTTTTAATGGACTTTATTTTAATCGTACAGAATCCACGTTTGGCGATCTGTGCTGTTTACATGTATATTCTGATTTTAGTTTCCAAAAGCTGAACTCAGATTACAAAACTACAAATTGATAACAAGTATGGCGGTTGCTTAGGGTGTTAACTTTTTTTGTCCCCCGCCTTTCGAAGAAAGCAGGGGACTATTAAAATGGATTCGTCTGTCTGTCTGTCTGTCTTTTTGGGACACAATAACTCTCTTTCTAATTGAGCTAGTTAATTTAATTATTTCTGTAGTTTTGTAATCGGAGTTCAGCTTTAATTAAATGTTCAATTAGCTAAAATACTAAATGTTAAAGAAAATCACTTTTCTCTATTTTTTTCATGGAACTGGGGTAGTCAATATTTACATGTATTAGATGCTAAAGGGTTAATACATGATTATTATATATTTCAGCTGAAGATGATAGTCTCTTATTACCAGTTTCACCATCTAATTATTAACATATAGATCTAGTGCTACATTACAGTACAAATCAAGAACAAACCCCCAAACCTTGCCATAAATGCAGACCTGGGTGAAATGAAAACCCATCAACACAGTTCATTAAACCGCTCTAAATACTACTCACAACATTTCAACGTAAATGTGATAAATTGCTAGATTGTTAAATTTAATCCGACTGTCAATGTACCTACAATGTATATTTACATGGTAGAAGATTGTAATAATAAAATAATGATTTAAACCGGTATTTATTTACAATGTTTACAATCGTAAAACTTATTACAGTATATAAAAGATGAAAATATCACTTTATTTATTAGATTAATCAAATTTTTTATTATATAGAAATCTTTCTTTAATGACAGGTATGAGAGAGATTTTGCCCGATTCCCTGACATTGTCTTTGACAGGTGCCTTATTTACTGGGATGTGATGGGGTGGGGGCGTATGTTTATGGTCTGTCATTGAGTCAACTGGTGTGGATGATAAGCAGTGGGAGGAAACCAAAGGACCCGGAGAAAACCCACGAGGTTGGAAAGGTGACCCTTCCTTGTCACGTACAACCGGTGACTTGAAACCACGCCAGTTGACACAATAACAGATCTTATGATACAATGCCCACGCGCTAACTATTCCGTCATTCAACTCCCCTTGTATGGGTCAAATGGCCGTTAAACCCCATCTCTCTCTCTCACAGGCATGGTATGTAGTATATTTATTATAGGCTGTTTATATGTATAATATGTACATAGAATATATCTAGTAATTATCACTTGTTGATTTGTATACCAATAACAATTATTTAAATATATGAAATATATGTAACCAAATCTTGTTATTTTCTTCATAAAATACAAAAATAGTATAAATTTTTAATCAAAATTATTGTTTACATGTAGGCTTAGGCCAAACTAATTTGAACTTTTGTTCTTCCGGTACAACTATTGAAATTCTTATATCTTGGAGGGAAAATAATAATTTAAAACAAAAATGGCTTGTCTATTCTTCTCGAAAGCTTTTAGTTCTCCTACAAACGAGGCTGTTTATGTATCAAGACTGCAGAAGCTACAAACGACCGGTGGACGCAATGGGTTGTTGTTGTTTTGAGTTTGAACGTCATTTAAGGGATTGAGGAATCCCTTGCGAACTACAATATTGTGAACATTGAATCTCTAAAAGAAATGGGTTAATTCTGCACTGTATTTGCTAAGATAAAATGAATTGCAAATTTGTCAACATATAAACAACTTTTTTATTCTTTATTAAAATTAATGGAAAATTTGATGTAGTCCTATAAATGATGACACTTTAAGTTGAAAACTTTTGAGAGGAGCAATCTAGTAGTTTTTATTTTTCAATAACTTCTGTCCAAGAAATAGGAATCAAGAACAAAAATTCAATTTAGTGTGGCCTGAGCATTGAAATTTTGGTAAAACTTGAGTTCAGACACAAAAAAAATGATTGAATCAAAATGTTATTTAGCTGGAGTTAAAAAAAATTAATATAAACATCCGAATATTTGCTTCAGGTGATCGTCATGTAAATGACAACTCTAGTCTTAAACCTTTCAGTATTTTTCTTCATGTTAATTGCTCCAGAATCTAGACTTCGAAATTCAATTTCTTTAGAAGAAAAATGTTTATGCCGATTTAAGGAATTTTGAAGTGAAAGCCCCAATTGAATTTAGCCCTTAATCCTTTAATTAAATTAAATGAACTAGGCACTATGTTATATACGAAAGCTACAAGACTTTCCATATAGGCAGCCAGTTGCCATATATACTGTGATATTTCACTACAGTTATTTAACTAACAAGATACATAGAATTGTAGAAGAAATCTAAAATTTATCATTTATTGGACAAGAACTAACACTTCTGGGAGTATTGGAATGTAAATTTGAACAATTTATATTATTTAATAAATGAAAATTTACTAGACAAAGAATTTAAATGTACACAGATTATTTAACTTGATTGATGCCGAGGTTATTGGTCCTGTTATTATAAGGAAAAATATATTTTTAGGAAAAATATATTTAACTCGATTGATGCTGAGGTTATTGTCTGTTATTATAAGGAAAAATATATTTAACTTGATTGATGCCAAGGTTATTGTCTGTTATAAGGAAAGATATATTTTAAAGTAATATTATTGTATGTTGAATGAAATTAGCTGTATCTTATACCCGATGAAATGAGATATATATTTAACTGTACTATGACTTATTGTCTCTTATTAAACTGACAAAAATTGTTTTCATGTATATCTTTTCATCTGATTTAGCTCGGTCGTTTTACTTGTGCCAACTATTACGAAAATAGTCAGAATATGATACAGGTGTGAGGATACACAATCAGAGGCCTGTTTCACAATTGATAATATTAGATTAATTTTAGTGCTTAGCCAATCAAAATTGAAGTATCTACTAAAATTTGAATTTTATCTTTAGTTAAGATTTCTAGAAACAGGGCCCAGGGCCCTTATTCACGAAAACTTAAACTAAGATACAATCGAAATTTTAAGAAATACTGCAATTCGATTGGCTGACCAGTAAAATCAATTTGCATATATCCAATGAAGTTGCAGTATTTCTTAAAATTTCGGTTGTAACTTAGTTTAAGTTTTCGTGAATAAGGGCCCTGGGTTGTAAGTTACAACTTGTAAGCCACTACCGGTATATATATATATATGGCTCAGTGAGTATGGGTTTGATCCTGATGTCGGCTGAGGAAGTTATTCTTGATTTCCCCCTAGTCAGTGGTACAGAACAGCAGGCCTGTCAAGGAAGAATGTCTAGTCGTTTGGATGATTCCCTAACAGAACAGCAGGCCTGGCAAGGAAGAATGTCTAGTCGTTTGGACGATTCCCTAACAGAACAGCAGGCCTGGCAAGGAAGAATGTTTAGTTGTTTGGATGATCCCCTAACAGAAATCAAATTGTTTCAATGGCATTTAGTAATTGAACTAGAATATACAGGTCACAATTCTATGGAATTCTATTACAGCTTATTACTGAGCGACGTTGATAATGACTAGAGAAACCTAGTCGAATCTCAGTAATTGTATTCCATAGAATTGTGACATGTAAAGTCTGGCCTAGTTTACCTTAGGGTGCAGGTAATGTCGTGCCTGGATTATGGAAGAGTTGAATGGAATTGGCCTAGGATCATCAAAATGTCTTATTTTCGTGTCAGCTGGGATACATAAAACAAGGTCCCATGTACACATTGCTCTTAACGTAAAAGATAGAATTTGAAATAAGAGTAGGCGGTAGTGCCACTGTCCAGCAAGTTTTCCTCATAGCAAGGCAGATGCCTGTCTCCATTTGCCTAGTTAGTGCAGAAGAGTAGAACGTTTAAACCTCCATTTCATTTCATATTTGCTGTCTAATGTAGAGGTGAATGATTTGCTAATGTCTGCAACCAGTCATTCAGGCATGTGTATTGAGCCTAGTAGGGTGATGAAGCACATAAAAAAATAGACACCATGAGATTTACTGAATAATTTTTAATTTATTATACATGTTTATTTTGATATTAATACTATAACAAGACGGTTGGTAAAATAAAGTAATGAGTTCAGAAAATTCTTCCAAGCCCATGGGATATGTACAAGGAATCAAGTATGACGACTTTGCAGCCATCTTGGAATTTGGTCAGTATCAATAACCGAAGGAACAAGCATGCCAAGTTTCATGCTGACCGAACTTGAGTCTTGGGCTATTTTCGAAGAGTCTTGGAGCAATCATGGTTTTCCATGGTTACAATAAAGCATTCATGGTTTCTAATGGTTACACTTGAGCAATCATGGTTTCCCATGGTTACAATAAAGCAATCATGGTTTCTAATGGTTACATCAGAGCAATCATAGTTTCTGATAGTTACACTGAAGCAATCATGGTTTCCCATGGTTACAATAAAGCATTCATGGTTTTTAATGGTTACACAGGAGCAATCAGGGTTTCCCATGCTTACAATAAAGCATTCATTGTTACACTGGAGCAATCATGGTTTCTGATGGTTACACTGAAGCAATCATGGTTCTGATGGTTACACTGGAGCAATCATGGTTTCTCATGGTTACACTGGAACAATCATGGTTTCTAATGGTTACATTGGACAAATTATGTTTTCTAATGGTTACAGTGGAGAAATTCTGGTTTCTCATGGTTACAGTGGAGAAATTCTGGTTTCTAATGGTTACGGTGAACTAATTCGGTTGCTGGTGGATAATCTTACTATGGTGGTTCTAGTTGGTCTTATCATAGACCATGTGTTATATATATATATATATATATATATATATATATATATACTCTTCAAAAAAAAAAAAGTAGGGGATATTCAGGAACAATACAAAACTACGGAAATGCACTGCTGTTTTTATTAGAGGTAACCAGTGTATGTTAATAACAGGCCAATTGCTTACACATGAACATAAACAGTTCATATGGGCGGCTTATCTGACGGCCCCATTTCACTTGCAAAGAGATACACTGTCAAATTGTGAAAATGCACGTTTTTGATTTTTGTCCTAATAATGAGCAATTGCTCCACCAATCCTTAGACATTCAGCAATTCGTCGTGGCATGCTCCTAATCAACCATCCAATCACGATTTGGGGCAATCTGACCCACTCCTCTTGCAGTGCCACGGCCAATTCTTGTCGGTTTACGTTGACGTCGATGAACTCGTCTCCCAATCAAATTAAACTAAACGTAACACACTATAGCGAGAGAGAGAGAAGGGGTTTAATGTCCATTCGACACAAACTAGGTCATTTCGGGACTAACATGGTTTAATTTTATTTCAATAATTTGCTTGCGCGTAGGGGTCTTTAGCAGTGGGAGGAAACCGGAGGACCCGGAGAAAACCCACGAGGTTGGACAGACGACCCTACTCCTTGCCACGTACAGACTTTATGATACAGCGCGCGCACGCTAACCATTCAGCCATCCAACCCCCCAACACACTATAGCAAAGATACGCTAAACAATAAATCTTATGCAAGAACCGATAGAAAAGCAAACATGGATAGGATAAACCAGCAAGTGGCAGTTTTCATCAACCCTTCCTTGAGGTGTCACATTTGACAATGAACCCCTCCCACGTGTATGGCGCTATTGCGTGTCGCACATACAGCTCAGTGGTTCTGTTGGGGCGATAAGTTCTTCATCTGTGAACATACTCTCAAAGCATGACAAGTGTCCATGACTATTTATCATATCACAACCTGCATAGGTATTTGCATTTCAATATCCCCTACTTTTTTTGAAGAGTATATATAGTTTTTGATCTTCTATTATAGACCATGTTATAAATAGACACCAATATAACACAACATCTTGGCTATTCACTAACATCTGAAATATATGAAACACACATAAGTCAATTTCCTTCCAAGCAAGGGCAATCGTGGTAAGATGCTAGCTCACTAACTAGGAAAATGAAATGAAATGGGTGATTAAGGTTTAACATCCTACTGTTTTGCTCTAAACTGGGCTAATGAGAGAGAGAGAGAGAGAAATGGGGTTTAACGTCCACTCGACACAAACTAGGTCATTTCGGGACTAACATGGTTTTAATTTTATTTCAATAATTCGCTTGCGCGTAGGGGTCTTCAGCAGTGGGAGGAAACCGGAGGACCCGGAGAAAACCCACGAGGTTGGACAGGCGACCCTACTCCTTGTTACGTACAACCGGGGATTCGAAACCACGCCAGTTGACTCAATGACAGACTTTATGATACAGCGCACGCATGCTAACCATTTAGCCATCCAACCCCCCTCTGGGCTAATGAAGACGGGCATACGCCATACAGTGTGCTATGAGGGAAATTTTGCCCGGACAGCGGCACTATGGCCTACTCTTATATCGAATTCCAACTGTCAAGTGATCTTTTCCGTGCATTCCAATGTATACACGGGACCTCGGTTTTTCGTGCCATCCGAACGACTAGACAGCTGTCCTTGTCAGGCCCTCCGTTCTGCATCACTGACAAGGGGCAACCACACCGGAAAATCTGGATGAACCACTAACTAGGAGGTCTTAGATTCTTTCCCAGTCTGATTACAACACAGATCCTATTTCGATTCATCTTTTATAGTTCAAAATTTCGCTTTACTTGTCTTTATAGCATCTCGTAGAGTTGTTATATAACCTGCATTCTGGTTGATGTGAGGGATTAACGATGCACAGAACTGTAGGCATCCTATTAGAAACATCAACGCTGATTGGTTAATTCAATGTCTAACGTCATAGGGTCAAAAGCCTCTCGTGACCCCTGGCACAACCTCCCACTACAACTGGTCAGATCTTCATCTATTAGAGGCCATCGAAAAAACGAAACGAAATATAAATCTATATTCTAATCAGATTGGTTCTTTCTCGATGTTACCCAAGAAAGTTCCTTGTGCAGAACGAAGGGACTAGTAAGGAATAGCATAGAGTCGTTCGGCTGCTACGAATAATGACAGTCCCTTATACACATGGGCTTGCCCATAAAAAAAGACAATTGGAATTGTATGAAGAGAAGGCAGAGACACTGTTTGGCGTATGGACATCTTTATTAGCCCAATTGCTGCCGAAAAGTAGCATGTTAAACCCCATTTGATTTCATGATTGTTTTATTTGACAGGCTATAAAATGTATACTAACCAGTAATCTAATTTCTACACGTATTATACGATCCACATTCACCACATTTTAAACCCACAACATGAAAGTTTGCTTTACTAGTCTGTAATTATAAAATACATTTTAAACAAACCTACAACATGAAAGCTCGCTTTACTAGTCTGTAATTATAAAATTCTTTTTTAAGCCACAACATGAAAATTAGCTGTACTAGTCTATAATTATAAAATATATTTTAAACCCACAACATGAAAGCTCGCTTTACTAGTCTGTAATTATAAAATTCTTTTTTTACCCACAACATGAAAATTAGCTGTACTAGTCTATAATTATAAAATATATTTTAAACCCACAACATGAAACTTAGCTTTACTAGTCTGTAATGATAAAATACATTTTAACCCTACAACAAAACTTTGGTGTGTTAACAAGGTTTAAAAAATCAAGGAGGGAAAACTCAGGTCAGTAATTGATGAAAATCTTTCAAAATCAATGAACATCTTCCTTTCAACTGACTGAACAGTTTATTTAAATTAGAGAAGATCCAATCACAATTGATATTTTTGTTTTCCTTTCTTAAACATACATTATGCAAGAGCTGCCTATTGTTATCTAAATTATTAATTAGACATTGTAACATGGACGGGAAATCTTCCTTTGTTCTTTTCGTTGTATAAGCAGATTGTTTTCCCTCTAGTAGATTGGTTGGAGCTTGACCGTGCAATAACTGGACATGTTCAATGTTATTGCACACTTTTGCTGGTTTACACTAGTTTTAGTAGAAATCATATAGAGAAGTGGGTGGGTTTTCTGTGCAATAACAACAAGCACGTTGAGCAGGTGTCGATGTTACAAGTCATTTATAGCACGCTTCATGCGTTAACAGGTTTAACACTGCGGCCTCTGGTTAAACCTGTTAACTCACGAATGCTGTGCTATAAATATAACTTAACTTATCCAGATCATAATTAACTCTCGATGTCAATGCCAGCCTGCTATATTTACTGGATTACAATCAGATTTGCTGCTCAATTTTCGTTCATCATGAAATGGATAATCGAGACTATGTTTTTTATCTAATTTCCCATAATGTATCTTTAATTATATGTAAAATAATCATTTAGCTAGGGTGGTGAAAAAACAGATATTATCTGAAAAAGGCAAATGGGGATCAGTGGCTTTAAATTACCTTATGACAATCTCTACACAGTATGTCTAATATAACATCTTTATATTCATCAGGCATTTGTGTATTAGCCAGTTCTCCATCTAAAGATTCCCAAACATCACTCATATCAACTAGAGATACACTACATGTCGGACAGGCATATACACTGTAATAATAACATATTGTTACTCAGTCAGGCATATACACTGTAATAACACACTGTTACTCAGTCAGGCATATACACTATAATAACACACTGTTACTCAGTCAGGCATATACACTGTAATAATAACATATTTTTACTCGGACACTGTAATCATACAACACATACTAATTACTTGACAGGAAGGGAGAGAGAAACTAAGTGATCTTGGGATTAACGTATGGTTCAGATTTTATTTCCAAAATTCGCTTGCACAATGGGAGAAAACCCAAGAGGTTGGGCAAGCGAAACTAATCTTTGTCACATACAAGTTGGGAATGGAATCCACACCAAATGACACAGGTATATACACTGTAATAATAACAAAGATAGGTTGTTGTACGAGGAGTCCATAAAACTTTTAACATTCATATTCATTTGTGGCTAATGGGAGCATTAACAAGATGCTAAAGACTGTCCAAGGGCAACAATCATTAAGTATTCATCAGCTATAGGGTCTAGTTCAATCAAGCGAAGCCTCAGTGGCCCAGTTAGTAAGGTGCCGGCTCACTTACTAGACTCTCCAGGCTTTTATCGTGGTGTTGGCCGAGAAAGTCACGAATAATACCGATCACAAAGTAATGAAATGAAATGAAATGGGGTTTAATGTCCCACTGTTCTGCTCAAACTGGGCTAATGAAAATTGGAATATGTCATACAGTGTGCTATGAGGAAAATTTTGCCCGGACAGCGGCGATACTGAATATTCTTATATCAAATTCCAAATCCCATCCGAACGACTAGACAGTTGTCCTTGTCAGGCCCTCTATCCTGCACCAGTGACATGGGGAAACCATGCCGGAAAATCCTGACAAACATTCTTGGCCAAGACCAGAGTGGAACCCGCGACCTCCAGCCTAGCGGGCCAGCGTCTTACTCACTTAGCCATCATGACTCCCACACAAAGTAATGATTTGTTGGTACTTCTGATGGGTAACTCAGAAGACTGTTTCTTTAATAAAAGAATAAAGAACAGAGTGAAAACTTAAAAGAAAACAATATAACTGTACTCACTTTGATTTTAACATACTTGCGTAACACTCACTGTAAAATAAAAATAGAATATTTAATAAAGGTAAGTTAAATACTGGAGACAGAGACAAATGGAGTTAAACGTCCACTCGAGACAAACTGTATATGTTGGGAGGTCACACTCACTTGTTTTAAAAGATAGAGAGAAATGGGGTCAATGTCCCCTTGACACAAACTTGGTCATTTTGGGACTAATTCGCTTGGGCGTCGGGTTTTTTTTAGCAGTTGAATTGAACCATCGCATCCGGAGGAAACCCAGAAGGTTGGACAGATGACCCTACTCCCGTATCATGTACAAACAGGGAATCCAAACCACGCCACTTGACACAATGACAGACCGTATAATCTAAACTCACATATTAAACCATTGAGTTAACTGGCGTGGTTTCGGTCCCCCGGTTGTACGTGACAAGGAGGAGAGTCGCCTGTCCAACCTCGTGGATTTTTTTCAGGTCCTCCGGTTTCCTCCCACTGCTAAGCCCCCTATGTGCCCAAGCAAATTATTGAAATAAAATTGAACATGTTAGTCCCGAAATGACCTAGTTTGTGTCGAGTGGACATTAAACCCCATTTCTCTCTCTCTCTCTGTGTCTCTGTCTCTCTCTCTCTCTCTCTCTCAGACATGGAAGCAATTGAAAAAGACTTTCACTGTCAAAGCAACTACTTTAAATACCATTAGACGAATGGAGTAATTAGACAATTAATTCACACACAAATTCCAATGTGCCAACGCGTATTGAACATTTACGGATGATTGCAGAACAAAAGTCTGTCTTTCCTAGTATGATTCATTTAGCATATTTTAACTGAAAACATATTGATGTAAAAGAAGAAAACATTCGCTAATAAAAATAGCTAAAAATAATGAGTAGGCTTAATATGTAACTGCCTTACTTTATCATTAGGGGGTCACGGTAGCTAAATGGGTAAGAGGCTGGCTCGCTAGCCTAGAGGTCGTGTGTTCGATTCCTGCATTGGCCAAGAAAGTTTATCAGGATTTTCCGACATGGTGCCCCCTTGTGAGTGGTGCAGGACGGAGGTCCTGTGTACACATTGGCGTGCATGTAAAAGATCCCTTGGCAGTTGGAATTCGATATAAGAGTAGGCCATAGTGCAGCTGCCCGGGCAAAACTTCCCTGAGAATACACTGCATGACATATGCCCGTCTTCATTAGCCCAGTCGGAGCAATAGGATGTTAAACCCCGTTTCATATCATTTCAATTTATCATTATCACAGGGATGCAATGCGCCTTTAATAAAGATCCAGTGCGTCACTTCTAAAAATCCAATGATCCACATCTGGCACATACACCTGATGTTTGCCATCCCTGATCTAAGGTGAAAATGATAAGTACATCAACTTACAAATGTATTAAATGTCCACATTTAGGAACATGTAATCTACGTCTAGAAGTGTGCAGATCGTCACGACATATTGGACAAACATCATGTGACACCTTTTCTATACACTGAAAAATAGAAATAAAAATATTTTGGGTCATTCAATAGCCACTGTCGTTAATTGAATGACAGGCGTCATAGGGTCAAAAGGCGCTTAAATCACCACTAACGCAAACTCCCATTGCAACTGGTCAAATCTTAATGTAGTAGAGGCCATCGAAAGTATAAAAAAAACGAAACAAAATAAAGGTCTGTATTTTCATCAGATTGATTGAGTTAGTTAGTAGTGAGCCAGCACTTTAACCATTGAGACACTTCATGGGTTTAGAGTTTTAGTGCCCATCTGATGTGGTTTCAATTATATAATAATCAACTACTGTCAATCATATACAGTGGCTCAGATACACAAAATCACCAGTCACCACATCCCTGCCCCGCCCCAATATGACCCAAGTATACTTCCACCAACTTTTCAATGCAGTGCGGGGATCACGTGGCTAAGTGGGTAAGACGCTGGCTCGCTAGCCTGGAGGTCGGGTGTTCGATCCCTGCATTGGCCGAGAAAGTACATCCAGATTTTCCGGCGTGGTTTCCCCTTGTCAGTGATGCAGGACAGAGGGCCTGACAAAGAAAGTTGTCTAGTCATTCGAGGTCCCGTGTATACATTGGAATGCACGTAAAAGATCCCTTGGCAGTTGGAATTCGATATAAGAGTAGGCGATAGTGCCGCTGCCCGGGCAAAATTTCCCTCATAGCACACTGTATGGTGTATGCCCCTCTTCATCAACCCAGGTTAGGAGCAGAACAGTAGGACGTTAAACCCCACTTCATTTCATTTCATTTCAATACAGTGCATAAATTGTGTGGAATACACTTCCAGAAAATATCCCACATGATTCTGTGTCAGTTTTTAAATCCACAGTGGAAACTTGGTTATTTAGTCACTATCGTTAACAATCCCCAGTGAGAACTAGGTTATTTATAAGTCACTATCATTAACAATCCCCAGTGAAAACTTAGTCACTATCATTAACAATACTCAGTGAAAACTTGATTATTTAGTCACTATCGTTAACAATCCAAAGTGAAAACTTGGTTATTTAGTCACTATCATTAACAATCCACAGTGAAAACATGGTTATTTAGTCACTATCATTAACAATCCCCAGTGAAAACTTGGTTATTTAGTCACTATTATTAACAATCCAAAGTGAAAACTTGGTTATTAACAATCCAAAGTGAGAACAATTTATAGCGTCTTCCCTTGTGGATTGAATAATTGCACGATACAAATATCATTATTATTATTATTATTATTATTATCTGCCACAGTCCTATAGTACCTGTACATGTATTTTGCATGATATATAATATTATAAGATGTAATAAGTCCTACCTTATGGTTTCCTTCTAATTCAAGAGCTAAACAAACATCACATTTAATACAATGAAAAAAGTTATCTCTTCCTCCAATTCTGCAAAACAAAAAGCCTCAAAATAATATGTTCATTTACAAGAAATAGACTAATATACTGTATTGTTTGTAATCTCTGTGTCTTGTGTCAGCGGGGTTGTCGTCTAGGTTTCCGCGTCTTAAAGTGTGGTGCAGTACTTCTGAACGTACATGTACTAATAAGGCACACCTTCGTGACATAAAATACCTGAACGTACATGTACTAACAAGGCACACCTTCCTGACATAAGGCGGGAAGTGGGTAAGACGCTGGCTCGCTAGCCTGGAGGTCACTGGTTCGATCACTGCATTGGCCGAGAAAGTTTATCAGGATTTTTTGACAGATGGTTTTCCCCTTGTCAATGGTGCACAACGGAGGGTACGAAAAACTGAGGTCCTGTGTACACATTGACGTGCACGTAAAAGAGTAGGTCGTAGCTCCGCTGTCCGGGCAAAATTTCCCTCATTAGCCCAGTTGGAGCAGAACAGTAGGACGTTAAACCCCATTTCATTTCATTTTTTTTCATAACATAACTTCTGTCAAAAAAAAAAAAAAAAAAAAAAAGCTTCACTAATACTTCATAAGATTAGTTATGAACTCAATATTTGAAAGCATACCTTTGGATTTTTAAATACAAAATAAGTTTGATTATTCAACATCAGCTAATTCCAAAGGATTTACTACACGTGTTTCTGTCGCAAGCCATGCTGTATCCTATGGTACCAGTGTCAATTTTGACCCCATCGGCACAGCATCGTGCGCTCGAGTGATAATATAAACAATTTTACTATTATATCCTATCTATTTTAATATTATTTCATCACATCATACTTGTTTTATTTTGAGACTTTGTTTATGGAGTGATGAGGTTAAGAGTGTATCCGCGAGAAGACCATGCAAAAATTGCAAAAAGTGCTAAGATGGGGGGTCGGAAGTTTTTGATCAAACTTATGGTATGACACCCCCTAGGGGCAAGAGGTAACATGCTGAAGTGGTTACAGTCTGATGTCGCTCTAAAGGACTGTACAGGAATTATTTATTTTATGGGTAAAATTGCGGTTTTCACATGTGTATTTATCACCTTTTTTAAGCACAGACTGCATTCTATGGTGGAATAGCAACCTTCTAATTTTGACCCTGTCTGATAAAGCGGGTGGTCAACTTCTACCCCAGCACTAATTTGAAAAAAAAAATCAGTACATACTAATTTTGTGTGGACTTGTTTTAGGGTACCATATTCACATTGTCCTTATAGTGCAGAAAAAGATACACTGTAACTTTTTCTTTCATGGTCGCATGAAAAGTGCTAAAAAAAGCTTTTGTGATACATTTCTTTGCAAATTTAATTAGAGAAATAAAATTTTTGACTTTCATACGTTTTCATCATATCCATAGCCATTATTTGTACCATGTTGTACTCTATATAAGTGTGTATTTGTATTTATTGTATATTTGGTATTGTCGTATTGTCCCTTTAACATATTTGTAGTATTGTCTCTTTAAGATTTCATTTTCAAACAAGTTACCGAAAATGACTACAAAATGTTTAATTTCAGAGCATGTTTCCGCTATTCATTTTGGGACACATCCACTGATTTCTACAATACAGAAATGTGGAAGCTTAAATATTAACGGCAACGAAGCCTAATTGCGTCGAAGTGGGTGACATTGAACAGTGTAGTATGGTAGCTACAGCTCTCGGGCACCGTCAGCTGCACCTTCAGGGCCGGATTTAGAATAAGAGAGGCCCTAGGCAAACCCCCTGAACAGGGCCCACGACATGGACCTTGGGGCCCTGGGACAAGCAACTCGGTGAGAGGGTGGGTCGGGGGAAGTCATGCAGTTGGTGGTTTGAATCTCACTTTTAGGTGAATTTTTCATTTTCGTTGGATTATTTTATTTAAAATAATGTCTATTTGAGAGTAATGGATATGTTTGTTAAGATTGAGCACGTCGAAACTCTAATGGAAGGTCGAGGACAACTGCAGAAGTCAATTCCCGTTGACGCCAGATGAGCCATGAACGATTACAGGCCTTTGAAAGTATTTTTTTTCAAGATATTTTTACAAAACAGATACTAATGTATTTTAGGGCTGGTAGTAAACACCATATGAATGAAAAGGAAAATAAATTGTTAGTTTTTTTTTTATCTACTACGGTTAATTATCTCCAAAATAGGGAAATTACAGGTTAATTTCATGGGTTATTGTTTCCATTACCTAGTTTTTGTCAAGTCGATTCCGGTCATTTTTATTTTTTGTATCAAATGTTGGGAGGTTGCTTGTTCACGTGAGCATAAATTTTTTAAACCCACCCCATGAAAGAAGTAGCTATAGGGCGTCAAACTTTGGGTGACGAAAAATGGGGAATTTAGACAGGCTTTGATATCCAGTCCGTATACAGATCTCGTTCGCCAGAATCGTCTGAAGTTAATATTGTGGTAACAGCACTGAGTCATCGATAAACTGTGTGAGTTTGGTCTTTCTGCTACGTATAGTAAAGGTGTACCGACTTGCCAAAGTTGGTATTTGAGAAAAGACAGATTTTGGCAATTTCACCATATGAAAAATGTTTTTTCAATTTTCTCATACAGGAATTGAAAGATTTATCTAATATTGCACATTTATGTGTTTTGGGACTATCCCAACTTATAAACCAAATTTGGTCAAAATCTGTGATTGAAGCCTTAGCACCTTCTGCATGTTTTTCTCGCGGACATGCTCTTAATACTGTAAAACAATTAATTTGTCAATCAGTTTAGGCAATTTAATGCTTGACAGCGAGGGCTAATAATGTCAAAACTTCGAGTGGGAATTTACAGTCGTAAACTTCCCGAGACTTATCACAAATGACATGTGCTATTTGAAATAATTATGTGGTCTTAGTGAAAGAAAACAATATTGTGGCTATCATTCCTGGGTTTGAAGGTCAGGTATCATATGAAAACGAATACCGAATAGTAATTTTTTGAACCGGTTCAACAGTGCAACCGAACCGTGACCGGTTAACCGAGTGACCGTTTACATCCTTACTCAAAACGGAAACGATTGAATGTAAATCAAGTTTATATACAATAATACTATATGCGTTGTGACCCATTTGTGTAAAGTCCCAAATATTAGCGATTTAGCTCCTTTAAAAACCAACCTGCATAGCCCACATGGTGTACAGTGAAACTGTTTCTTGCTCGTGTCATCATCGTACAGATTACAAATATTACAAAAATAATTTCCAAACTTTATACCACAATTATAACAGCAGCCTTGGACCTAAAATAACATAAAACATATGAACTCACTATGAAATATAGTTCAAAATTCCAATATATATTTACTTTAATAAAATTAAAGAATCCCTCGCTCAACAGAAAAAGGGTATTGCACCCAAAATGTTGACCAATTAAACGATCTTCTACTTTTACAAGTCTGTTGTATATTCTGTTGAGCGGGGATTCTTTAATTTTATTTTACTACTCCGCCCCGCCGGTATCATCTTTTGATCCAGTCTCTACTCAGATGTATCAGCCAGTCCAGCTTTAATTACTCTCTAAGGGAGTGTTGCCGTACCCTTTTCCTGTTTCCAGTATATTTACTTTACTGAGGGTAATAACTATTATTAATCTCAAATATTGTTAATAATAGCCAGGATTAACTAAGTGATCGACACCTAATTACTAAGCGATTTCCAGAAAACAATTCGTAATTTCTGCTTTGCCAGACATTTTAATCCCCTTGATGTCGGTCCACAAGATGTTAAAACTAGTCAAAGATTATTAGGCTACTTGTTGATTAGAAATTCAATCAATTTGTAAGCTAACTTTTATCAGTCATTCGGGTGGTTGGATGGCCAAATGGTTAGTGCACGCACTTTTTTCGAATTGATCTAAGGCTAAGGTCACTGAAGTCAATTGGATATTAACTTTAGTCTCTAGAGAGTCAGCAAGATTTTTCAAAGTGATGAACGGCTTATCAGAAATCATTGAAAATCAATAGAACTTAATAAACACTGTGTATAAATTTAAGAAGTCAAGGGCCATAACTTGGGCAGTAATTATCAGCAATTGTTGAAAATCAACAGGCTTCTTCTTCTTATGATCATAATCCTATGAATAAACTTTAGCCTCTAGAGAGCGTCGGCAAAACTTTTTAATCTGATCAAGGGCCATAACTCTGGCAGTAATTATCAGAAATCGTTGAAAAGCAATAGGCTTCTTTGTCTCATGACATTAAACAATGTGTATAAATTTATAGTCAATCGGATATTAGCATCCACAGGCACTTGTGGACGACAAACAGACTGACGAACAGGGGTGATGACAAGCTATAAAAAGTTAACCACATGTGGTATAATCAAAATTGTGTCTCAATGCAGTTAGAGACTGTATATGTATCACTTTGGCAAATTATATTATGTGTCTAATCATCAAAATACGTTTAGTAGAATCTCTCCTCTGTCTCTCTCCATGATTACCTTTTGTTTCTCGTTACATTTCATACATTTGACCAGTCGGACGTCCCTTCGATTGAGCTGGTGAACTTCGTTATCATCGTGACAAATTCGACAGGTGTATTCTTTATTACAACATGGTGACTATAAAATACAAATTGTTCAAAGATGCATTATATAAGATTTGGATAAAGAACTGGATGTTCTCGCTATAATAATTAAACAATTGAAAAAAATAGATAATGAAAAGGGAATATGTTGAAAATTACTTCATTCTGAGAGGAGTTATGGCCATTTAAAGAACGGTGTAATCTCGATTGTCATTGCTACCATTGTTTCGATAATAAACAATGTCTTGATTATTTATTTTTTAATTAAATTATTCACTGGCAATCATGTTTAAATCCATTGAAAATCAAAACCACCCGACGGACTAGAAAGTTGATTATGGGATTGGCATGTGAATAAATGTCTAAATAATGATTTATATAACATAGGTAGCCAGATTTAGCTCTTACATAATGCATCTTTAACTTTAAGCAGCAATTAAAATCTGATTAAAACACAGATCCTATTTTGTTTTGTTTTTTATAGTTCAAAATTTCGTTTTACTTGTCTTTACTGCCGTATACTAGGATCTGGAAAAGAGTTGCTATATAAACCTGTGTCCTGCTTAAAGTGAGGGATAAGCCGATGAAATGGTCTGTTACAGCGACTTCTTGGCGGGCCATGCATGGTACTGTGGGTAAACCACTAGAAACATCAACACTGATTGATTAATCAATGCCTGACGTCATAGGGTCATAAGCCGATTGTACGACCCCTAACACAACCGTCGATTACAACTTGTCAGATCTTCATGTAGTGTAGGCCACCGAAAGTATAAATAAACGAAACGAAATATAGATCTGTATTTTAATCAGCCTGGCAGCATTTAGTAACTGAATAGAATAACACAATACACAATTATATGGAATACAATTGCAAGCTACTTAGATTCTTTGTTCGATAAAGACCAGAGAACCCTTGTCTGACGTCTCCAGAAATATAATTTTGATTAACTTGTATTTCATATATACTTGTATAAAAAATAAAACATATTCTAATAATACAGGCCACAAGATTCAATGCTGAATGTATGAGACTTTACAAGACTGTTGAAGGGAAACAACCGATGAAGTAATTAACAGAAATAATTCAAATTCGATGGCTTCTTCTGTCAATCTGTAAGTGATGGGTAGCTGTCCCAGACTGAGATTAAAACTTTTCCATTCAATTTGAAAATCTGTAGGGTTCTTCCTCTAATGAACATAGAAACTCAGTAGGATTCTTCCTCTACTACTAATGAACATAGATACTCATAAATAAAGCACATGTCACAGACTTTGACTGACTATGTCTGTGACAGGTGCCTCATATCCAGGCTTGGACATAATTTTTTTGTGATAATTTGTACTGGACAAAGTCGGTGATAGGTGTTTATCCTTATGTCTAGGCTTGTAGATAGGCCTACTGTTTATTTTATGAAAGGGTCACTATAAATTTATAAATAATGAACATATTGATATAATTTAAAAATAGTGTTTTCAGAACTATTAATTAAAAAAAATTGGAAAGCTTAGGGAATATTAATCATCTATACATATAAATTGAAAGAGAAAACAATAAAAAAAATGTGTTGTTTTAATCAAAATACAGGATGTAATTAAAGGTGTTTTGCCAGTTTTGGGTCAATCTATTGACCCAGTCTTGGGTAATTCGACCTACCTAGTGCCGATACCCTATCTTAGCCAGATATAAGGTAGGAATTAGGCCTAGCTATAGCAGTGAATTAATTAATTTGAAAACCTACAATAAGAAAACATTTTCTTTTATAATGTTCACAGCCCAACGCGTTGTCCTCGCCCAGATCAACTTTTTCTTGAACTTCGGTAGCCATTACACTGTAATTATGACCCCTACAGCATTGCCAATTCAGCTTTCACGAGGCAATCAAAAGTCACGTTATTGTTAAGCGCGCTCTAAAACAACCAGGAGATGAAGGTCTTGGTCTAGTAATTGTGTGGATTTATAATGTTTAATAATTCTAACATCCATTTATAGTATTTCTGAATGTTTAAGCGGCAATACTATATACCGGAAACACCGGAAAATTACCGGAAACCACCATTATATACTGAATACCGGAAAACGAAATGAAATGAAATGGTGTTTAACGTCCTACTGTTCTGCTCCTATGCTGGGCTAATGAAGACGGGCATGCATGCGCCATACAGTGTGCTATGGGGGGAAAGTTTGCCCGGGCAGCGGCACTATTGTAACCGGTAGCCGTAGCTATCTTAATTATTTGTATTTCGTTTTCCGGAAAAGCGCTCCGTAGTTCTATATTTAGACTATGGGTGTAAGTTTTGGTACCTATCGCTACTCTAGTAAAATCTATGGTTTTCTCGGCACAGTCATCGCCTGTTTAATATTTTGATATTTTTATATTGTGTAAGAGTATATATTTCTAATTGAGCATGCTGCCTATGTTTTTATTATTGTTAATTGTGTCTGCCGACTGTATTTTCAAGCAAGAACTTTACTATGTATTTATATGTATTTTCACTTAGTTTGTTATAATATTTAGTGGGCAGATTTTGTAAGTAAATATTTTTGATGGGAACTTATATGCATCTGGTAGATAAATTATCTAGCTATCCGTGCCTATCCTTAGTTTTGTGGTGCCTACTCTGTGTCAAAAGTTCTGCATATTTTTTGGATAGTACCCGTGTCTGGATTTTAGATTCCATGCCGACTTGTCCAAGGGAGATAATATTAGCTTCTTGTATATCAAGAATTTATTAATTAGTAGGCATGTTTAATTTAAGTCTTATTTAGTATATTTTATCCTTTCAAATTATTATTTATGCATGTTGTAAGCCATGTGTCATGTTGGTTTAGTTGAGGCATGGGTTCTTTTATTTATTTTGTGTCTGTTAGTTTAGGATTTCACCCCACCTTTTATTACTAGGTGGATGAATAAGTTGAGTCTCATTGCCTCCATGCATTAGCCTTTTGTCTTCTAGACTGGATAGTAATATCCTGGCCCAAGGAAGTGTTTTGACAGCGTTTGAACACAGTGTTTTATTTTTAGTCTTTATGTCTGGTAGTAGAAAGTGTTTTTTAGAAGTGTTTTGTAAGTAATTATTAATATTACATAGTTAGAGACGACCACAAATCGTCCCGAAGTCACGTAATTTCGGATACCCGAATTTGACCTTGCTATCCCCAACCGAAAATTATATGTATCATATATGTTTCTAATTTTTATTAAAACCTTTATAAGTTCCTGTTGTTTCAGTGTCGATTAATTTATTAGACTAACAGTGTGCGGGTAACACTAAAGTTTAATTGGTGGCTGGAGTGGGATAGTTTTGTGAAGAATTCGGAAGAAGTTGATGTTTGTGGAGTTATGTTTTATCGCTGTGGATGTCATCAATTGTCAACATGAATAGACTTGATAACTTGAGTCTTGGAGAGTTGGAGGCTGCTATTGCAGAACTTACGGATTCGTATAACAGCGACATTGCAACGCTTGGGAGGATGTTATCCCAAACAAGGGTTGATGCTGTTCCTCCGTCATTCATGAGTCAGAGATCGACAGTTCCTGTTAATTCACCATCTTTATTTTCTGACATGAGCAGATCTCCTGTTCGATGTCAGAATCAAAGGCAATCCAGTGTTCGTTTCAGTTCATCTACGTCAGGTTTGGAGAGAACTGCAGATTATTACAGAGATTCGAATCCTGTTAGAACAAGGACGTCTACGCCAGTAGATACTCAACGACAGAGAGATAATATGTATGGACCTGTGTCTAATATCTCAACCTTAGCCAGTGGTTCCAGTCGCTGTTCTCCAGAATCTAGCAGAAGGGCCAGAAAAGCAGACAGTCAAATGTTTGGATTTGACAGAGCTCAGACAGCCGATGCTAGACCATTACAAAGGTTGGCTAAGCCTATCGCGATGCCTCCTAAGTATAATGGTGAAACACGATTGAATGATTATTTGGTTCAATTTGAAGTCACTGCAGAGATCAACTCATGGAGTGAAGGTGATAAAGCGAGATTTTTGGCGATTAGTCTTACAGGTAAGGCAAGTGATATATTTGGTACGTTGAAACCAACTGATGTTCTTAACTACCATTGTTTGGTAGAAGCTTTAAAGCAGAAATTTGATCCTCCGGAGTTAGCAGAGATGCACAAGGTACAGTTACGAGAACGACGAAGAAGGAACAATGAAAGTTTGTCGGAGTTTGCTCAAGCTGTCCACCGCCTGGTGTATTCTGCTTATCCCAGAAGTAGTGAAATAACGAAAGAAGAGATGGCTAAAGACCATTTTATCCAGTATTTTGGAGATAGCCAGATGAGAATGCTTGTAAGCCAAGCACGTCCCCGAGATTTGAATGCCGCACTACACCATGCTATGGAGTTAGAGGCCATCAAACATTCAGATCCCGATGTACGCTCCACTCATGTAGCTAATGCAAAACCCAAGTCTGGAAAGAAGGCAGAATCTGAGAGTTCTGAACTGCATAAAATGATAGCAAGTTTGAAAGAAGAATTAAAAGAAGTGAAAGAGAAGTTACGAGAGTTAGAAAATAAGATTTCAGATAGGAAAAGAAGAGACCTGTCTGAAGTAACATGCTTTAATTGTCTAGAGTTAGGGCATTATTCTACGACATGTCCCTCACCTCGCAAGAGTCCCCCTGTTGGCTCTTGGCGAGATGGGAGGGTACCATTTCAGCAGACTAATCAGAGAGATACACCTGCTGTACCAGTTCCCATGCCAGCACCTTCAAGGTCACATCATTCTAGCTTAGACAGAACTGTTGGTGTTGTGAACCCTTCCAGTTCCGGTATTTTTGTTGAAGGCAAAGTAGAGGGGCTGGACACAGAATTTTTAGTTGATACAGGTGCTAGCCTGTCGATGATTTCAGAAGATTTTTATGATTCGTTTGAAGAGAAAACCGAGTTGCGTCCGGTTAATTGTAAGCTGTTACAGGCTGATGGCTCGCCTTTAAACGTTAAGGGTCGTGCATCTCTTAAGATCGAAGTTACCGATAAGAGTTTTGTTTTCCCATTTGCAGTTGTGACCATGCCAACAAAGGCTATTCTTGGTCTAGATTTTGCAAAAGAGGAAAATGTTATTATTAATGTTCCTTTGTCAGAGATTTATGTTGGTGGTCAGGTGATCCCATGTCAGACTAAGGGTGGAATTGGTGTATGTCGTGTTATCCCCGAATCGGGTACCGAAAAGGATGATTTGGTTCGTGGTTCTTTGATTGATACTTTGCTTAAATCTTTTAAGGAAAGCCTAACAAGTCAGCAGTATAATATTACAGCGACTACTTTGTCCAGGCATATAAAGGCTTTTGCGGTTGATAGTGATGACGTTGGTAGAACGGAACTTATGTCTCCTTGTATAGAAATTGGGAGTCATCCACTGATTGCCAACCATCCAAAGTACCGCCAGATGTTTTGTGTTACAATTATCATTGTCATTTTATTGATTGTAAAGAGAGGTTTCGCTCAAAATATTTCTGGAGAAGACATCTAGCTACACATTTGCCGAAGAACGACAATACAGATGATATATATGCTAAGCTTGTCATGGATGAAGTTGCAAAGTCTAAAGGTAATACTTCAAAATCTACACTGAAGACTGTTCCGGTAGCAACAGTAACAAGTAATTCTGTTGGTTCTAGTCCAGCTAGTGTTGTGGATTCGGAGGCTACCAAACGTTTTGTTTGTCAAATTTCTCAGCAGCCCGAATCGACTTTGTCGAACGAAGAGAAGACTGTTGATCTTGAAGTACCTGTTGATATGTCTTTTAGCCCTAAAGAATCTGTTGCAGTTTTATTAAGTCCAAAGAAACTGCCTACAATATCTTTGAGTCCCAGGAAGGATAATTCACCTATGAAATCTGATGCAAGGCCTAAAACTTCCGACGTATCAACATCTCCCCCACCCTTATGGCCCATTGCTATGTCTAACTCAGATGAGCCATTGGGATTTATAATTAAAGAATCCATACACAAAACAACAGAGGCTGGTGGAAAAGAACGCCTTTACCGACTTATACCTAGATGTGAACAGGAAGTTGCAGACTTTGATGGTAACGGGAAACTGAAGGGTTTCAGGACAACGCTACAATGTTTGTATTGGCCCGTCGATGAAGCTCCCCCACCGCCCTTGGAAAAATTAGAAGAAAAGAGATTACGCGATAACGCTAAGTGAACTTTGAGTAATGTTTGCGAGTTTAATCGACGATTATCGTGTTGAACTGATCGTGGTTCATAGTGATATAGCGTTGACGGTATACGTTGTTTGTATTTGTGTTGTGATGAATATATATATCGCGGGAACAAATCAGTGATTTTCAACTCTAATGACTGTGTTAATTCTTTAAACTGTGATTTTATAGATCATCAGTGTGAACTGATTTCGCGAAAACATCGCGTTTGCGAGCTGTAATTTGGACAATATGTCGCGTGTTGGAGTAAAAGTGACTCGAACTGTGATTTAATGATTTGACATTTTGAACTTTATAAGTTTATTCCAGTTATCAATGTTTTGAAATGTTTAATTTGTTCATTATGTTTACTATTTCGATCGAGGACGATCGATTTTCGGAGTCGTGGGTAGTGTAACCGGTAGCCGTAGCTATCTTAATTATTTGTATTTCGTTTTCCGGAAAAGCGCTCCGTAGTTCTATATTTAGACTATGGGTGTAAGTTTTGGTACCTATCGCTACTCTAGTAAAATCTATGGTTTTCTCGGCACAGTCATCGCCTGTTTAATATTTTGATATTTTTATATTGTGTAAGAGTATATATTTCTAATTGAGCATGCTGCCTATGTTTTTATTATTGTTAATTGTGTCTGCCGACTGTATTTTCAAGCAAGAACTTTACTATGTATTTATATGTATTTTCACTTAGTTTGTTATAATATTTAGTGGGCAGATTTTGTAAGTAAATATTTTTGATGGGAACTTATATGCATCTGGTAGATAAATTATCTAGCTATCCGTGCCTATCCTTAGTTTTGTGGTGCCTACTCTGTGTCAAAAGTTCTGCATATTTTTTGGATAGTACCCGTGTCTGGATTTTAGATTCCATGCCGACTTGTCCAAGGGAGATAATATTAGCTTCTTGTATATCAAGAATTTATTAATTAGTAGGCATGTTTAATTTAAGTCTTATTTAGTATATTTTATCCTTTCAAATTATTATTTATGCATGTTGTAAGCCATGTGTCATGTTGGTTTAGTTGAGGCATGGGTTCTTTTATTTATTTTGTGTCTGTTAGTTTAGGATTTCACCCCACCTTTTATTACTAGGTGGATGAATAAGTTGAGTCTCATTGCCTCCATGCATTAGCCTTTTGTCTTCTAGACTGGATAGTAATATCCTGGCCCAAGGAAGTGTTTTGACAGCGTTTGAACACAGTGTTTTATTTTTAGTCTTTATGTCTGGTAGTAGAAAGTGTTTTTTAGAAGTGTTTTGTAAGTAATTATTAATATTACATAGTTAGAGACGACCACAAATCGTCCCGAAGTCACGTAATTTCGGATACCCGAATTTGACCTTGCTATCCCCAACCGAAAATTATATGTATCATATATGTTTCTAATTTTTATTAAAACCTTTATAAGTTCCTGTTGTTTCAGTGTCGATTAATTTATTAGACTAACAGTGTGCGGGTAACACTATCACCTACTTATATATCGAATTCCAACAGCCAAGGGATTTTTAACGTGCATTCCAATTTTACAAGGGACCTCGGTTTTTCGTCTCATCCGAAGGACTAGAAAGCTGTCCTTGTCAGGCCCTCCGTCCTGCATCACTGACAAGGGGGAACCACACCGGAAAATCTGGATGAACTTTCTCGGCCAATGCAGGGATCGAACACCCGACCCGAATCCGGGCTCAAGACCAGAAGTCATTTTGGAAATCACGAACATGTATCAGAGAGTCTAGATAACAAACCTCATCTCTCAACCCTCCGTGTTCCGAGATAAGATATAGTGCTATATAGTTCCACGTAGCAAAGCCCAACGCAAATCACATCGGGGCTCAGTAAGCAAAATTGACAATATTTTTCATCAAAACAATGATTGATTATTTTACCCGTTATTTATAATATTTCTGCCACATCCAACTACAATTAAGCATACAATCCTGCCTGAAACGGGTATAAATCGTCGTATTTAAAAATCGAGGCTTAAGCCGTTACTAGGAACGCCATTTTTAAACGGGAGATGTATGGCGGTGTATGTCGGATAAAAACAACGCTTCATTAATTTAGGCGATCGCTGTGCCTCTACATTGGCCTCTGTAAGGTTAATTAGTCATATAGTATAAAATTATCTTATTTTTTTAAAGATATTATATGCATTAATAAAGAAATTGAGTTTTCCACTTGGAACTAAAGGCACCCAATCGTAGCTAAAAACAAGCACATATTATCTCAACGTTTTTAGCTACGTTCTCGTAGCTACAGAGAGTCCTGCAGAAAGGAAGCAAGTTATAAGTAGAATTGAAAGGAGATGAAGTAGATTGATCAATCATCCAAGAAGAAATATGTAATCTTATATTGAATATGAATGCAAAAGAACGTCTCCGAGATGTATGCAGGTACCAACTCGTCCCGGTGAGTGCAGAGAAGATTCGATCAATGTACCACCAGTTATGTGCTGGTAGACTGTGAGGTATACAAGGAAGAGAGAAGGGAACTAGTGAGTATGATGGAGAACAACAACATACCTCTCAGCACCAAGAACCTACTCTTTCCGATTATCAAGTAACATTCTCGATGCCTACGGTACCCACGATTATCAATCCTTTCATCGGCAGTCTCCTGGAGTGACGTCAGTGATTAACGGTAAATGTCAGTCATTGGTCAGTCAATTAATGATTTAATTATTAAATTGACGACTCTTTAAATCCAAGCTGTATCCAAGCCATCCGAGGGTCTACAGTGTTGATTTGGGGCATGTTATGTAAATAAAGGTCTAATTAATAATTTCTATAACATTTGAAGCCTATAGAAAGACTTGCAATAGGCAGATTTAGCTCTTTACTAATGCATCTTTAAGAGAACATGACGTAACGATTCTGGCAGCTGTCGCTCTGGCTAGTAAATTTATAGATTTATGCTTGTAAACTTTGTATCCTGCTTTATATAAAAACGTACAAGAACAGCGTGTTCCAGGGTTATTCTGGAGACATATTGGGAGTCATATTTAGTCTGTGTACAAGTCTATTTCTAAATATTTACGTCCATAATTGCAACAAATGTGAAGCCCAAGATTGGAGAACTGCAACAGTATATATTATTACACACGGCAGTTATACCTAGACGATCACGATCAATGGCCAAAACAAAGAATGTGTAGCAGGGTGTGGGCGTTACACGCTTGTTGTTTAGCTTCCATATTCGACCGGCTATGCCACAATATAACCTACTTGTACCTTTGATGCTCGGCAGGCATCGCCCATCCCCGCCGCGAGGTCTCTGCGACGATGTTACGCCTAAAGAAACCGATCAAAGTGAGTGAGTGAGAACTGTGTCTTTTAAAGAATACCAGGTTATTCTTATGGATCTAAATGTCAACCGACCCGGGCGCAAAATACATTTAAATATTAAATGGATCGACAGTTTACAGAACCTATTATTAATACATGAAATAATTGGTTGTCAGCCGACTATCGAACTCGGAGAATTATTTTCTGTACAGGTATAAAAATACGTTCGTAAAAATAGACATAAAAATATAGGTATAAATGTACAGATGTAAAAGTACAGATGTAACCTTTTTGTCTTCTTTTTTTCTTAGAAATGGGATTTAACATTTCTGAACTATCATATGGTTCAATTTTATTTCAATAAATCGCTTGCGCGTAGGGGTCTTAACCCGAAGACTCAAATAAAACTCACATACAAGTTGGGAATCAAAATTATGCCACTTGATTTATGGAGATACCTTACGATCTAACGCGCACGCGTTACACCATTCGGCCATCCAATCCCGTACAGGCGTAAAGGGTAGAATTTAGTTTTTTTAAGATAGCAAATTGATATTCCACCAGTTAACGGGATTACAAATATTGATCTGTTCATCTGTTCCCTTCAAATTAATAACTCTGTCTTCATACCTCTACTGACAAGGAACGGTGTCTAGTCGTTCGGATGGGACCAACAATCGTGGTTCCGTGTACACATTGTCGTGCACGTAAAAGAACCATTGACAGTTGGAATTAAATATCGAGATAAGAGCATAGGCGTACGAGCTGGGGAAGGGGGGCACCAAATGCTGGGAAAATTTGGGCACATAATTGTACTTTTTAAAAGTTGTATAAAAAAATATTGTGTTCTTGAATGTGTCCAATTTAACAGAAAATTTATTATTATTATGTAACATACTAAAAACCTAACTACATTTTTTGGGCACCAAAGACCATGCCCCCCCCCCCCAGTCAAACAATTCCCCGTACGCCTATGGATAAGAGTAGAGTACAGCTGAGTACAGCTGTCCTGCTTTTCTGCACCAATTGGGATAATGAAGACGGGCATACGCCCTACAGTGTGCTATGAGGAAAATTTTGTCCGGACAGCGGCGCCACGGCCAATTCTTATATCTAATACCAACTGCCAAGGGATCCTTTACGTGCATGCCCAGGGCCGTAACTAGCTCAGAGTAACGAGGGGCGGGTAGTGTTCTCGGGGGTGCTGTAATATTGACGGACAATGTATATCTATTTTGGGGGGGGGTCGAAATGTTTTTCACAGGAGGGGGGGGGGCGAAAATTTATGCAGGGGGCTTCGCCCCCCTCCCCCCCTAGTTACGGGCCTGTGCATGCCAATATGTACACGGGACCTCGGCTTTTTGTCCCATCCGAACGACTATACGTTGTCCCTTTCCAGTTCCAGACCTTTTGTCCTGCAACACTAACAAGGGGGAACTCCGCCGGAAAATCCCGATGAGCTTTTTCGTCCAATGCACGGAACGAACACGGGACCTCCATGGTTGTTAGCGAACCAACGTCTTACTCACTTAGCCATGGTGGCTTCCAATTAAGAGAGAGAGAGAGAGAGAGAGAGTGTTTGGGGGGGGGGGCGAACAAATAAGTCTGTCCAGTCATTAGACTCTTTAAGAGATTTCTTCAGATTATCATTTTTATATCGTATTTTAGCCAGCCTGGATCTAAGAGAGCGAATTCATAGTGCGAAGCACATTGAACATTAGACAAAGTAAGGCGGCTATAGAAATCAATAAATCGAAATAAAACATCAAAACGTGTAGTCTTCTAGATAGTGAAATTATTTTAATAGCACAGATTATTTAAAAAAAAAAGAAGAAATTCAACAACTATTTCTTATCTAGTTTTGGGGTGGGGTGGGGTGGGGGTGGGGGAATAGTGAATGGGTCTTTCGAACTCCCACGCGCTCCCCTTCTGCATTTTCCAAAATAAATTTAACCGCATGCCTATTTGGCTTTCAAAAATCTATTCCTATTCCTATTCTTGCATAGCTTCTTTTATTATCCTAGTATTAGCAATAGTATAAAGAATAACCCAGGTGTTCCGTGCCTGCGTCAATAAAAACCCGTTAACCTGCCAAGTCCAATACGGTATTGAATAACTACAAAGTGATCAGATTTTTTCTACCTCCTTCAGCTTTTTCCGTATCGAATTTCAAGTTTTATGATGTTCGTAGACAGGAATGTAAAGATATAATTGCCATGTTCTGCGTAACAGTTTGCGGTTGAAATAAAAAGCCGTTATTAAGTGGCGATCACCTAGCGACTGGGCATTTTGCCAGAGGGAATCTCCTTACTGACGTCAACGATGACGTCAAGGGGATTTCTCAGTGCGCAGGAAGTCGAGTCAGACAGCAGAGTGGAAGAACTCTTAAGGTTGTACATTTTTTAAGAAGCCTGGAATTTCTTTGTCTTGAATAATGTTGGTAGTATTTTACTGTCGATCAGCTTGCCAGTTGATTGCTAGGCGAGGATGTGTGTAGATGTAAATGTATGTCGATCGCATTGATCTAATGGGCGGTGATTTGAATAGGTGAGTATCACTGAAATTTTTACCGTTGACTGTGTCTCGTGTGTACACTACTACAACAGTGTCCTGCCCCTGCCTGTTCACTTGAGACACGTCTGTGTCATGCTTGGGTTATGCGTCACAGTCAAGCCGAACTAGACGTCTAGTGGACTCAGTCAGGTAGCCCAAGGGTGTATGATAAAATATATTGATGAAAATATATATTAATATATATTAAAATATCTATAGCCATAGGTTTGTCTATACATTTTTTTTAATTTTATGGCTACAGACAGGTTAATGTTTTATAAAAATAATGTACCTGTAATAAATTGTATTTGTAGGTGTAAATAAATACCTTGATTTTACATATTATGCACTGGAATTGTCACTTCCATAAATCTATGTTTGGTTATTAATTGGTTGTTCAGTTCCATAAATCGGTACTGTAACCAACTTCCATAAGGTGAAATGACTGCTCCGACCGGGCTAATGAAGAAGGGCATGGCATACACCATGTAGGCAACCAATCTGATTGGGTTGTTCTCTTCCATAAGTTGAAATGAAATGAAATGGGGTTTAATGTCCTACTGTTCTGCTCCTACTGGGGTAATGAAGACGGGCACACGCCATGTTGGCATGCAGTGTGCTGTGAGGGAAATGTTTTCAGGACAGTTGTGCTACGGTCTACCGTTATTGAATTTCTTTTATGTGCACACAGGACCTTGGTTTTTCTTTTCATCCCATCCGAACCGTTCTCAGACCGGATAGCATTTACTTTACAAAAATTTAACTGGTCGTACTGAGAACCGTTCAGAGGCCACCTCACTTCAATGGTCCAAATTAGAATGGTTCTCAGTACGGGACGCTTATCTTTTACAAAAAAATAACTGTTCCGTTCTCCGGACTTTTCCTGGGTCAGGAGTTAGCGAAAGAACAAAGTTGTTTAGTATAGACTTTTCTCTCTTACCAGTGACCTTTAGTCCATTAAGTTCAGTTTAGCACCCTTTTCTTCTCTGAGGTAATAGGCTCAAAGGTCAATCTGGATAAGAAGGGACTGGAACGGATTATATTGCAATGGCTGACCTGAGGTCTTATTATGGACACTAATCCACAAGTTCAGGTATACACAAATCAGGCTTAGTCGGATCATTTTTGTTTGTTGAATGGACTTCTTCTCTTTCGTGATTATTACTTGAAATTCTCCAAGCTGGTATATTATTGACATATTTTGTTTACTCCAGATAATAATAATAGTGTGTATTTATAATGATGCTTACATTCCATTCTTGTATGCTGATGTTGCATTTGTCAACTCTATACATGTACAGGAAAAAGTTAATATTAATATGGTTAAGCCAATAGATATGTCTTTATATATCTGACTTGAGATATTCTAAGCTTGTGGAGTTCTTTATTCCTAGTAATAGGGTTGGTGCAAGGTAGGATAGAATTTTGTGTTCAATTGTTCAATATTTTTTCCAAAGAATATGACAACTTTTACTACAATGTTATCATGATTTTATATATATGTTTAAACAGGCATTATGTAAGAATTAAATCTGCCTATTACAGGTCTTTGTTTGGGCCTTAAATGTTACATAAACTATTAATTGGACATTTATTAACATGACAAGACCATAATCAACTAAGGTTGTGACGACTAAGCAAAACTTGAACCGGTTAGTCGGTAATGAAAACTAACTGAAAAATATTAGTCTTCCATAGTCTACAATACACGCTAATATACTGGCCTTTATTATATACGGAGCTTAAAACTGAAATGGCGACATACAGTTCTATGTTTTATGTGTACATTAAAAAATTTGGTTTTGTTTGTACTATGTAGTTTGTTCAAATCTCCTGTTTAACCTTTTTAATAAAAGTAATAAATACAACATATAAAAACAGACTTAAAAAAATTGACAAACAATGACGTATTGATCAATAATATTAGTGATAAACCGACGAGAAAGCGTATCTGGGCATCAGCTCAGTGCGCATGCCTATTGACCTAACCTGGAGGATTACTTGTTTCTGATTGGGCACTTCAACCATTGACCTTAGTGACCGACCAATCAAATAACGTATTCTTAAAATAACTTCATTAGGTATGCAAAAACATACTCGCTTGTTATCGCAGGAATATCTATGACCGATTACGGAATATACTGTCTCGTTATTATTATTGTCGACCATTTATCAATGATGTAGCTTATTGCTTATTCGCCCCCATAATTGTCGATCGTTAATACATGTATCTTTTTAAAAAAAAACATGCTATAATATTCGGGCGACTGGTTTATATCATGCTGTATTTTTTAGACGACTATCGATTTCCCGAAACTTGAACCGGTTTGTAGGTAAAACCGAACCGACTCCGACTAAACCGACTAATCGTCACACCCTTATAATCAACCCTCAATGCCATTGGATGGCTCAAATTTAAAGTAGATTAGAACGGTTCGGCCATTTAATGATTTAATTTAAAAATGGAGAAGCGAAGCTAAAACTTGAATGACCAGTACGGTGGTTACGATCAATGAACACATCTTGTCGAAACTACAACCATTGATAACTTTGCTCAAAAGAAAGTAATTTGATTTTCAATATATTCATTTTGCATTAAGATGTCAAGGGTTGCATTATGTGCACGTGACCTTGGTTTTTTGTCCTATGCAAACGACTAGAGACTGTTCCTTGTCAGGCTGTTACCACTGACAAGGGAAAACCACGCTTGAAAATCCTGATGAACTTTCTCAGCCAACTTTTGGAGTGAACCTGAGAAACCCCCTGGTTATCGAGCTAGCACCTTCACACACTGAGCCACCTTGGCTTCAGAAACCATACAGGATAAGAAGATCAAAGGCAGGATGAGTACACATCAGAGGAAGTATTATATTAAACCCCATTTCCTTTCATATCAGAGGATTGGTGAAGCCACTAATAATTAATATTAATTAATTAACATTTAGTCTCAACCAGGGCTACGAAGAGATGGAACACCAAGATACATTAAAAGCGATGAATATCAGAAGATCCAAGCCAGACTTTAAAGGGGCTAAATCGCTAATATTTGGGACCTAGAAATTGACACAAATGGGTTGCAATGCATATAATAATGTAATATGAATGTATATAAACTGATTTACATTCAATCATTTTTGGTTTTACTATAATTTCAAATCAATTATATTCAGCAAAATACGCTAACTCTCATTATAATTAGAGTAAACAATAAAGTGGGGGACCCCTCTGGACTACATCTTATCGTTAATGCCATACGGTGCGAATGTTCTTAAAGTGTGAATCCATTTGAATTCATTGGCTTTCCTTACGGCATCATTTTTGCCGTTATCAGTCTTAAAAAGCTCTATAATTTTAATCATAACATTTCTACTCGTATGTCTATCTAAGTTGAAGTGTAGTGTGACCGGCTTTGGCCTGTTGTGTCTAATAGCTGCATAGTGTTCCTTTATTCGTTTTGAAAAGACACGTTTGCTTTCTCTTGCGTACGTATTGTTATTTGGAGGAGCATGTTAATAGGTAGACTATATTTCTACTTAAACAATTATAGCCCGTGTGGCAGGAATACGGTATTTCTTGCCAGTTTTACCACTAATAAAGTAGTTATTTTGGTCTAATTTGTAGCAGATATCACAGTCCTTCTTGATACATTTTTCGAATAGATTTTGAAACGTGACTCCGCTGGTTTGCGAGTCCCGTGGTGGATAGATGAATCTTGCTTTCATCAGCGTATCCTTCAAATTAGGATTCCTCCTAAATACTGTGATTAAGCCTGAAGAGTTTGAATAAGAACGAAACTAGTAGCTGAGAGAAATCTGGGAAGGCTGTTCGCCTATTTACAGATTTTTTACTTTATCTCATTATAATAGTTAAAAACTAGATAATGTAAAGGGAATATGCTGAAAATGTAAGTCAAATTGCTCCACTCTGAACTGAGATATTAGCAGTTGAATGTTAGGCCTAGCCTTGACCATCATTACTCAAGTCAGTACGATAAAAAGCATAGTCTCGATTATCCATTTTTGGATTTTAATCATCAGTGAGTGTTGAGCAGCCGATCGGATTCAAATCCATTGAAAACTCGACATATAAGATGGCATCGAGAGTTGATTAAGGTGTATTCATGTTAATAAATTATTAAATGTCTAATTAATAGTTTAGATAAGATTTCAGGCCTAAAGAAAGATCTGCAATAGGCAGATTTAGCTCTTGTATAATGTATATTTAACAATTTGTCAGAAAATAAAATAAATTTCTTGAAGGTAAAAGAACAGTCTAGAAAAGTATAGATTAATACTTATTTATTCATGGAAGATGTAGGTATAAATGATTTAAACTGAGTAGTGTTTCATTTATTATCACTGTAAAACTAAACACTTAATTTTCACTACCATAATAATAAAAAAAGTTGCCATTAACTTATTCAAGTCTTTATTATTCTGAACAAATATTTAGTATATATGGAAATATACAGTAGTCATTAATTAGCAGGTGTGTTACTAGCTGTAAACTATGCCACTGCTAGTGTGAAAGTTTGACTAATTATAACACCCATCACTATTGAATACACAAAGCACTGTAGAGTACATGTATATCATTGCTAGTGTGAAAGTTTGGCTAATTATCATACCTATCACTATTGAAAACACAAGGCACAGTAGTCTACATATATATCATTGCTAGTGTGAAAGTTTGACTAATTATAACACCCATCACTATTGAATACACAAAGCGAAAGTAGTGTACATATATATCATTTATTTGTCAGGATTTAACACCTTAGGGAGATAACACCTACTTAATGATAACTGTCTGATTACTAACCCTTGATATGATATTTATTGTTTATTTCTTACAATGTCTGTGTAGTTTTTCTTGTCCTCAGGTTTGTCTTATCAGGTCTGGTTTGGCATGTAGTAGTTACTATTTCAATAGTATAGGTCATTTGTTCGAACGTTATCAATCTTTAGCTGTGGGAGGAAGCTGGAGGACCTTGAGAAAACCCACGAGGTTTAACAGATGACTCTACTCCTTGTCAGTACAACCAGAGAATCAAAACCAAAGCACTTAACTCAATGACATCATCCGGCCACCCAATCCTCTGCTATATATAGGAGTGTGAATGAATACATCCTTTCCTTGCCACACCCTATCCGGCATCACAGACATGCTGAAACCAAGCTGTAACATTTGGTTAGCGCCTTACTCAATAAACAACAGGAAGAAAGAATTATTGATTTAATTTTTTTTACTGTATTTTTCAGTTTGGTATGACACAGAAAGAGGATTGAAACCTAGAGGCACAACATTTACAAGTAAAATGCTGACCTGCTTTTGACGCAAAAAAAGTGACGTGGAAATATTTTATACAGCGGTGGTGACATAGAAAGCTTGCCGATGGCCAGACGCGGAAGTGAAACATCTGTGGATCAGCCCAGATCTTATTTTCTGTACAGTCAGAATTATGGATCCGATGTTCTTGCTAAGTTAAATGCTCTTCGGCAGGATGCCACATTCACAGATGTCATATTATGTGTAGGCCATGAAGAGTTACCATGCCATCGCAACATCTTGGCGGTTAGCAGCCCGTATTTCCGCGCCATGTTTACTAGTGAATTAAGAGAGCGTCATGAGAGTAGAATATGCTTCAACGAAGTTTCCCCGTGGACTTTGAAACGAATTATCGACTACGCTTACAGTGGGCGTCTGGAAATCACTCAAGATAATGCTCAGGAAATGTTGTCTGCTGGCAATTTATTTGAATATCCAGACATAGTCGAGGCATGCTGCGGTTTCTTCAAACGGCAACTACATTATTCAAACTGTCTAGGCATCGAAAATTTTGCTCAAATTCATTCTTGTAAAAAGTTAGAGGAGGAGGCTATTAAGTATGCGTTAGAGAACTTCAGTCGTGTCGTGGAGTTTGATGAATTTCTGGAGCTTCCAATGGAACGTGTGTTAAGATATATTTCTGATGATCATATAGATGTAAGAAACGAAGAAATGGTTTATTATGCTGCTCGGAAATGGATGAATCACGACCCCGATGAACGAAGACAGTATATACCTCAGCTGCTGGAACAGGTTTGTATATTTTTTCCATGGCAATTAGTAACAGAACTGGAATTACCCATTTAATTCACATCAATGACCCAACTTGCCACTTGACTTGAAATATTTATTGCAACTTGAGACTCACGTCGGCAGTAAATCTAACTTACCTTATTCGCTATGAATTTTTGACTCATTTGATAAACTTGCAACTTGAACGTGACTCACAATCTCTGATTGGACACTACTGTTCACGTGTCTGTAGATAACGTAGCTATAAGTTCGGGAATCTAGCAACATCCAGTTGTTGCTTCAGGAACATGCATACCAACTAGCCCAACTCAATATCCCTTCCTCATCTTCATTCGGAGACAAATAAAAATGCTCACTGCTCTAATTTACTATTAAATTTTAGTAAAATAAGTTGCTCACTGAATTAGTGCTGACACGATATATTGTGGAATCAGTGTATCGCAATTCATCTTCTCATGATTCGGGTATCGATTTGCGAGATGCTAAATCGATACATCAAGATACTTTTTTTTATGTTTTTTTATCACTTCAGTAAGTAGCCTGTCACTTTTTAATTATCCATGTCACACAAACACTCTTAAATTATCTTGATATCAATATCGTGATATAAAATAATTTTATTTCTTCAACATCGGCAGGACTAAAAATATCAATTATTCATTTATCCTATTGTTTTCTTGGTAAATATTGACCTGATCATGAATCGTGATACGAATCGTATCGTAGCACCTTAATCGCAATAAGTATCATGACTGCAGTGACAATACCCAGCACAACACTGAATAAGGCATTGAATCTCTAACTCCAATTAAGGTCAAATGTATTGTTATTATTCTTGAACAGTTGAAATTCCCATATCTTCATAATCCCAGATGGATCAGAAATCAGTATGGTGTCAATTATTCAGAAATGGAGTTATTTCCCTTTAACTATATTTGTTTAGCACCATATTTTAACTTAAAGATACATTATGTAAGATTTAGATAAAGAGCTAGCCATTCTTGCTATAATAGTTCGAAAGTAGATGACGTAAAATGAATAATTTGAAAATTTCATTCAAATTACTCTATTGCAAGCAAAGATATTAGCCTTTGAAGGTTTGACAGACGTGTGCAATAATTTCAACCACCGTACTGGTTGATCGAAGCTAAGTCTTGGTCCTCCATATTTGATTAAATCAAAGTATCGCTGAACCATTCTAATCTATTTAATATCGGAGAAATCTGATGCCATTGAGAGTTGATTAAGGCCTGGATCAGTTAATTAATGTCTAATTAATACTTTAGAAAACATTTCAGGCCTAAATGCATGTTTAAATTGTTTGAATGGAACATGGAAATACTCAGAACATACATATAGTTCTATGAAATATAATTACTCTTTATTACTGAAGGTTTAGGATTCTCTAGTTTTGATCAAGTAATGCTCAGTAATGGAACTGGAAGTACATAGGATATAATTATATGAAATACAATTACTGGTTATCATGGAGTGAAAGAGAGAGAAATGGGGTTTAATATCCATTTGACACAAATGAGGTCATTTCGGGACTAACATGGTTCAATTTTATTTCAATCAATCGCTTGAAGCCTTACGCTTAGGGGTCATTAGCAGTGGGAGGATGCCAGGGGACCGGGAGAAAACCCTCGAGGTTGGACAAGCGACCCTACACCTTGTCACGTACAAGCGGGGAATCGAAACCATGCCACTTGACTCAATGACAGTCCTTATAATGCAACGACGTGCACATGTTAACATTCGGCCACACAACCCCCCAGCAATGAACGCTAGTTGTATTCTATAAAATTGTATTGCATGTATGACAAGTTAGTACTTGATACTTTTAATTCAGCACTTTTATTCATAATAATAATAATAATAATGTTTATTTGTAATGCGCTTAATAATCCATCCATATACGCATGCTCAAAGTGCAACATTTAAAGAGTCTCTCGCCATTAAAAACACACATAAACAATCTGTTTCTAATCTGGATAATAGAGTTTAAACAAATGAGTTTTTAGTTGTGACTTAAAGATTGTGAAAGTCTGAGATTCTTTAATGTTTACTGGTAACTGATTCCAAAGGCGAGGTGCAGCAGCACTGAAACTTTTATCACCAAATTGTTTTAAAGAGATTGTTATACTTTTGACAGTTTTAAATAGATTATGATATTTTTGTCACTGTGGTTTTAAATAGATTATTATATTTTTGTCACTGTAGTTTTAAATATAGTATTATATTTTTGACAGTTTTAAATAGATTATTATAATTTTTTACAGATTCGTCTACCAACAATGGATCTGAAAAATTTACGTCTTTTAGAATCCGATCAACTTCTACAGGGTTGTCATAAAGGCCTTCAGATGATCAAAGACGCTCAGACAAATCGCGAAAGTGTCAAGGCCAAAACTGAACAAAGACGGAGTAGTTTACCTGCCATTAAAATTCATCCACGACCATCAACCGTTGCTAAGGAAGTTGTTGTTGTTATCAGTGGTATTAATTCGTACATCACACCCTCGGTAGAGATGTACGATTTACAGAAAGGTCGATGGTTCAAGCTTCCTGATCTCCCGCGCCTCGTTTCCTGGTTCTCCGCTGCTGCTATTTCTAAATGGATTCTTGTAATGGGAGGAATCTGTGACGGACACGTCGTCGACACTGTTTGGAAATTCGATGTTGTGCAGAGGCAGTGGACGGAAGCTGCACGCATGCCTGAACCCCGCGCGAGACATGCATGTGCGGTATTATGTGATAGAGTTTATTTATGTGGGGGCGTTAACGGGGATGGAACTCAATTCGTGGAATCAATCAATAGCTATAATCCATATGAAAATTCCTGGTCGAAAGCCGGACATTCGGAAAACCCCAGAAAACAGTCGTGCATCGTTCCTTATAATAATACATTGGTGGAGGTTGGTGGAATTCAAGGCGAGGCCATGGTCAACACCATCGATAGTTACGTCTGCACTGGATATAAACTCCGACACTCCGGAGAACAGTTCCTTCTTCCATCCATGATTCATTATGCTCAAATAGTCGTAGTTAATGATATATTTTACATAATTTGGGAGGACACGAAAAAAATGATAGCGCTCGACCCTCACAAACGAACTTTCCAACCCCTACCAGATTTATCGGTTGCCCGGTTACACTGCGCTACGACTGTGTTACATGGAAAGATATATGTGTCGGGCGGATTAATTGATACCAAGCCATCTCGTTTAGTAGAAAGTTTTGATCCTGTTTCAAAACGTTGGACGGTTGAGAAACCTATGAATGAAGAACGTGCATATCATTGTTGTGTGAGTTTACAAATGTGTTGATGTTTGTACGCGTGTATGTTGTTTTCTCATATTTATACATTACGTTATTCCTGTGAATTATCTCCTCCTGATTGCTCCAAAACAATCTGATAAAAATACAGATCCTATTTCTTTTCGTTTTTTATAATTCAAATTTTCGTTTTACTTATCTTTACTACACTAGGATCTGGAAGAGTTGTTATATTACAAGCCTGTTACGGCGAATTCTTGGCATGCCATGCCCGGATCTGTGGGTAAACCTCTAGAAATGTCAACGCTGATTGATTAATCAATGTCTGATGTCATAGGGTCAAAAGCCGCTCATACAACACTGACAGATCTTCATGCAGTGTAGGCTATCGAAAGTATTAAATAACGAAACGAAATATAGATCTGTATTTTAATCAGAGTGGCTCCAAAATTAGTGCCGATAATCGGGTAAAATATTATGCATCGATGTATTTAAAGCAAACATCGATATTCAATACTCTCGTTGATGCATTGGTAAATTTTCACCATCACCGAAACTCGCTATTTGAACGAAAATTCCTTGCCTAAAATCTTTGATATAAATTTGTATAAATTTGTCAGTTTAGTACCTACAATAATACTAGTGCCTATCTTTATTACAGATTCGATAATATTTATAACCTTTTTGTAAAGAAAAGTCTGGAATTATTTTTATTTCGTTAAAAAAAGCAGATAAGTACGATATAACTATATTTACATGGAACAGAGCATGACCTCATCACCGCCATCTTGGAACCAGGACATCATATAAAAATCGATGTGCAATTGTCAAATGAACAAGCATATCAAGTTTCATGTCAATAGTATTTCAATTGATGGAGCATTAGAATTTTTTTCATGAGCGTTGCTCTACGAAGAACAAGAATAACCGCAAGTTCCTTGGGCTAAATCTATTTGTTAAGGCCAGCTCAATTTTTGTCGAGGTTGCTGAGATGTAAATAAGGTTAGGGCACGTGATTGTTGGCGAGATTGTAGGTTAGGATTAAGAATTTGGGGGAGAGGTTTAGTCATGTGTCATGAATTTTCCGGGGATATAACTTGGTATAATAATTATAGGGGGTGCACGAAACCGTTAAATCTCCCTTATATATGAAGCAAGTCTAAAGCTAAGGTTTTTCTTGGAATTTTTTTACGTTTTTTCTCCATTCGATGCATCATTAAATAACGGCACTACCACAAATGTATGACAGTGTGTGAGATCCATCCCTGCTTGATTTGTACCCAATCTGATTAAAATACAGATCTATATTTTTTTTCTTTCGTTTTCTTTTTTTTGGGTATACTTTTGATGGATTCCAGATGTAGTGAGAGGTCCCTTCAGGAGTCATAAGAGCTGCTTTTGACCCTATGACGTCAGTCATTCGGTATTTATAGTGACTATTAGGAAATTCAACTTTTGCTTTGTTTTGTTTTCTATCTCTGAATGTTTACCCATAGTTCCGCGTACCAAACGATAAGAACTTAACTGAACAGATCATTTGGTTGACTAATCCCTCACATCAACCAGAACGTGGGCTTCTTTAAGTGAAGACTAGTGAAACGAAATTTTGAACTAGAAAAACGAAATGAAATATAATCCATGCTTTAATCAGAGTGATCTGTACCTGGTATATTTTCACCTGTATTTGTACATGTATCTGGTATATTTTCACCTGTATTTATACATGTATCTTGTATGTTTCCACCTGTATTCATACATATACCTAGCTGTAAAGGTGTGTATATTGGTATACTTCTTCAACTCTGTTGTAGTAAAATAAATTAAATTTATTTTATTTTATGAAATACTGTAAAACAAGTGTGTTGGGTTTTTATAGCAGCTGACAAATTTTTGTATCATGTAGCGCTATTGTGTTTACAGTCGCTTATCATCATTTGATGGATTTTTAATCCATGGGAAATTACAATATTGGGAAAGCAGAATCTTTAAAGGGAATATCTGTCCATAATGGTTCTATTCCGTTCAGTATTTACAAAGATACGATGCATTAAACATTTGCTAGGTAAATATTGGTGGTCCCATTCCGTTAATAAAGCTGCACTTGTTAAATAGAGTTATTTCCCTTAGCTCTGGTGTGTGCCGCGAGAAGGAAAATTGGGTCCACAACGCTTTGAAGGAAATCAAGTGGTATTTTATGTATAGTTCAAAGTTCATATCTTCTCATAACTTGTCAACACAAATTTCATTATTTCGTTAGGATAACATGTGGTAATCTTTATTCTCGGACTGTTTGTAAAGTGCAAGGAATGAGAATTTTGCCCGGACAGCATCTATCTGTCTATGCTTCTTTGATTTTGAACTGGCAAGGGTTCTTTTACGTACATGCTATGTACAGGGCTCTTTTTTTGTTAGAACAATATTTACACGTGGTCCGGTACATAAAAATAGAACTCCTTTATTCATTTTTAACAATTACAGATAATAAAAAAAATAACAATCCGATACATAAAAACAAATTATTTCTTCATTCGGTAATCACTTTTTATTCGCCCACATTTTCATGTCGTACATGTCCGCTCTACAGGTTACAATTTTTTTTATCCAATTTTGGGGGTTGGATGGCCGAATGGTTAGCGCGTGCGCGCTGTATCATAAGGTTAGTCATTAAGTCAACTGGCGTGCTTTCGATTCCTCGGTTGTACGTGAAAAGGAGTAGGGTCGCCTGTCCTACCTCGTGGGTTTTCTCCGGCTCCCCCGGTTTCCTCCCACTGACAAAGACCCCTACCTGCAAGCGAATTATTGAAATAAAATTGAACTATTTGTTAGTCCCGAAATGATCTAGTTTGTGTCGACTGGGCGTTAAACCCCATTTCTCTTTCTCTCTTACTTATCCAATTTTGATGAATCTTAAAATATATGTCCATTTCCCAAATATCTCTGACACACGTCGGACTGTAAATTCCTGGATTATTGCCCCTGAATGTACGAAAATTGGACTAACTCCATCGATATACAGTGCTCCACAACATTCCTTTCCGGAGTTGCTCCCTTTGTCGTAAACCTGAAAGCAATAGAGGCTGCAGCTTTTAACAGATTTATTTCAAATTTCGTGTTCCAGAGTTCCCCTTTTCCGAAAACATTGTGCAAACGACAGAGGCTACACGTGAAAATGAAACGAGAGAGAGAGAGATGGGGCTTAACGTCCATTCGACACAAACTAGGCTGTTTCGGGACTATTTAATAATTCGCTTGCGCGAAGGGGTCTTTAGCAGTGGGAGAAAACTGGAGGACTCGGAGAAAACCCACGAGGTTGGACAGACGACCCTACTCCATGTCACGTACAACCGGGGAATGGAAACCACGCCAGTTGACTTAATGGCAGACCTTATGATACAGCGCACACACGCTAACCATTCATCCGTGGTATCCCCCAAAATGAAATGGAGTTTATGTCCTATTTTTATGCACTGGCTGGGTTAATGAAGACAGGTGTTTGCCATATACAGTGTGCTATGAAATAAATTTTGCCCAGACAGCAGCTTACATTTATTACGAGTTCCAACTGTCAAAGATTCTTTTACATATACGCCAACGAATAAATAGTGTCCTTGCCAGCCACCCCGTCCTGAACTGTGAACCACTGGCAAGGGGAAACCGCCGGAAAATTCTAGGGAACTTTCTCGACCACCACCTGGATTGAACCCCAGACCTGTTTTTTGAGCCAGTGCCTTACTCACTGAGCCACTGGGGCTCCCGAAATTTTGCGTGAAGCATTGGGACAATGAGAGGATGAGATCTGGGCAGTGGCATTTCTTCATCGAATTCCAACTGTGAAGGGTTCTTTAATGTGCACACAGGAGCTTGCGTTTTTGTACCATCCACACAACTAGACACTGTTCTTTGCCAGACGTTCGATCCCTGCATTGGCCGAGAAAGTTCATCCAGATTTTCCGGCGTGGTTTGCCCTTGTCAGTGATGCAGGACGGAGGGCCTGACAAGGACAGCTGTCTAGTCATTCGGATGGGACGAAAAACACAGGTTCCGCGTACACTTTGGCGCATACGTAAAAGATCCCCTGACAGTTGGAATTCGATATAAGAGAAGGCCGTAGTGCCGCTATCCGGGCAAAATTTCCCTCATAGCACACTGTATGGCGTATGCCCGTCTTCATTAGCCCAGGTTAGGAGCAGAACAGTAGGACGTTAAACCCCATTTCATTTCATTTCATTTCTTTGCCAGACCTTTCGTCCTGCACTACCGACAGAGAGAAACCTCGTTGCAAAATCTCAGGGAACTTTCTTGATCAACACAAGGATCAGTGTACATAAAGATTGAGATAAGCATTGATCTGGAAAATCGACAACCTGATCACCCGACATCACGATATATTAACCCGACAATACGATATTTTTATTTTACGCGACATTACAATCGAACTGATATCATCTCACAATCTCATATATCAACTCCTCGTTTTCACAGGAATTATCAGTGAGAGGAAAATCGGCTGTGTACCGGTTATCGCTCGCTAGTTAACTCAGTCAGAAACAACAACGGATTTCCTTTGTTGCGTCACTCCCCGATTCTTCAAATTACGGATCAGTTTAACCAGTTCTATCACATATAATATGGTGTATACAAACATTGCTCTTTAAGAAAGTTGCATATCCTCGTTCAGAGGCGTAGCCGTGAAATATAGACAAAAACATAATAATTAAGAAAAGCGACAAAGGCTCGTGTTGTGTCATAATGAATCGCGCAGACTATATCTCAGAGGCAGAAAAACAATTAAGTAATCCTATACATTACACTAAATTAGACCAACCCATCTTTAAGGACACCGAAACTTTAATAAACAACATCTTATATGAATTGCAGGATAAGGAATACATAACAGCAAAACAATATGATTATCTATCTGCTAAATCTGACTGCCGACAAAGACATCTCTACACTACCAAAAATACATAAAAATCCAGAAACAGAATGGTTTATACCTAATAAAATACCCAAGGGACGCCCAATAATATCAGACTGTGGCAGCGAATCATACAACGTATCACAATATATAGACCATTTCTTATTACCCCTAGCATGCCAACACCCATCCTACCTTAAAGACACTAACGATTTCATTCAGAAAATCAAACAGTTAAGAGTCCCCGAACACACCATTTTAATATCCATCGACGTACAAAGCATGTACACGAACATTGATAATAACACAGGTATTGAAGCAGTTAGGAAAGCATTTCTTAGGAACCCGCAAGCATCCAGGCCGGACGAAGAAATCCTCAAACTACTCGACATTTGTCTGAGGAGGAATGACTTCGCTTTTAACGACCAAGTATACCTTCAGTCTTCCGGAACTGCGATGGGAAAACGATTTGCCCCGAGTTATGCAAATCTCTTCATGGCGGAGTGGGAAAGGGAAGTTCTGCCACTCTGTCCATTAAAACCAAATTTCTATGGGCGGTTTTTAGATGACGTTTTCATAGTCTGGACGTACACACTAGAAGAATTTTGGACGTTTTTCAACATTCTGAACAATCATCATCCATCTGTCAAATTAACCGCAAATGTAAGCCATAACAGCATAGATTTCCTTGATACTACCGTGTTTAAAAGTAGCAACACCAAAATCACAGGCCAATTGGAAACTAAAGTATTTTTCAAAGAAACCGACACACATCAATTATTGTTCAAAAGCTCCTTTCACCCAAAACATACATTCTCTGGCATCATAAAATCTCAGATTCTCCGTTTTCATAGGATATGTACTCAGAACACCGACTTTGAGTCAGCATGTACATTGGTATTTAGCAAACTAAGGGAAAGGGGATACTCCAAACGCTATCTACGACGTATAAAAAACAATACTCTCGCTGAGCTTGCCGCCAAAGAAACAAATAATACACAATCAGCAGTCAAAACCAAACTTTGTGGCCATCCAAGATGTCAAACATGCAAAATCTTAAACATATCCGACCATTTCCATAATAAAACATCTGGCACAAAATTCCCAATATTAGACCAACTTTCATGCAGTAGTTCAAACATAATTTATCTAATTTCATGCAGAAAATGTGACAAGCAATACGTAGGGGGGACTCAAAATGCACTTAGGGAAAGAATTAACGGTCACCGGTCAGACATAGTCACCAAAAAAGACAAACCTGTCTCAATTCATTTCAACCAACCGAATCATGACATTTCTGATCTCATTGTCACGCCAATAGAAAAGACCAAGAGCGACTTTGAAACTTCAGAAGAAATTAAAACGTTTAGGCTAACTAGAGAAAAATTC